CCGCACCTCAGTGAGGATGTTGCCGAAAACAGCCTCTTCCCCAGCCAGGGCAGTTCCCCAGGGAGCCCAAGGTCAGAGGCTGGGAGGCGGAGGGGGGAGGGAGGGAGAGAGGAAGGGAGGCCCAGCTTGCTGCTCTCCACGGCGCCCTCTGCTGGCCGAGCGCTCCCGCACGCTCCTTTGTAGGGTCAGCAGGACTGAGATGCAGTGACCACTGCATGGCCAGCCTTGGTCCCGCCTGCTTCAAGCCCCTGCACTCAGAGCAGAGGGTCTGCCAGCTTCAAACGCTCCAGGGACCTCGTAAGGGTGGACCTCGTAAGCGCGGTGGGGACCCCGGGGGAGGGCTGGGGGGGAGAGGGGCATACAGAAAGGAGGGGGGTGGTTACAGTTTCTTTCCAAAGCCCCCCAAAATCCTCACGGCTCTGGCAGAAGTTAAGGAAGCGTGGCCAACCCCCGAAGATTAAAGATTGAGAATTTTATACGGAAGCAGAAGAGACATCAATCAATCAGGAGGAGGAAAAAAGAATCAAAAACCTTGAGGGGCCTGAGCCATAGCGCAGCGGGGAGGGCATTGACCTGGCACGCGGCCGACGCGGGTTCGATCCCCGGCATCCCATAGGGTCCCCCGAGCACCGCCAGGAGTGATTCCTGAGTGCGGAGCCGGGAGTCAGCCCTGAGCATCGCCGGGTGTGACAAAAAAGAAAAAAAAAAAGAAGGGACCAGAGCAATAGGACAGTGGGGAGGGCATTTGCCTGGCACGCGGCCGACCCGGGTTCGATCCCCAGCATCCCATAGCGTCCCCCCAAGCACCGCCAGGAGTGATTCCTGAGTGCGGAGCCAGGAGTCAGCCCTGAGCATCGCCAGGTGGAATCCGCGCCCACACCCCCCCTCAAAAAAAAAGGGAAAAAAAATGAAACCATGAGACTAGCTTTCCAGAACTGAGTGGGGGTTAAGGGACTCGTCTGGCATGTGGCAGACCCGGGTTCGAATCCCCGCTGCTAATACAAGACCAGGGGCATCAGTAGGGCTGCCAGTGAGAGAGAATCCAACAGAATCCCAGGCCTGCAGAGGGGGAGTGCTCGAGGATTGGTCAGAAGCCCCCTCAGAGGGGGGTTTCCGTCCCCAAGCCCAATGCCAGGAGATGCGGCGCATTTCTCTCCTTGGGGCATTCATCCGGTTCAAGTGTATGTTCCCCCACGTCCCCCCAGAGACAGGCTCTGGACTCCGGACCCCTGTCCCCTGGGCTCAGGGCTGGATGGGAGGGGGGAGTGGTTCTGAGCAGATGTCTCTACGGGAGCCTCAGTATTGCCATCTGGGAAATGGGTACACTCAGGTCCGACTCCTGGACACACACGGGGATAGATTCTCGCTCTCGGTAGCTCACAAGCAGACTTTCTGTGGCAAGAGAGAGGAAGGACCAGCCCCCCAACTCCCCGACTCCCGTTTCTGGAAGAGCCTCCCAAACTCGGAGCACCCACATCAGCTCAGGGCCGAGGGCCACCTCCTGACCCCGGGCTGTTAGGGAAAGAAAGGTCGGAGATGGCCAGGGGCTGGCTGGGAGGGCACCCATAGGACGCGCCAAGCCGCGAAATCAACGGGCGTGATTCAGTCACAGCGCGGCCGGAATTTTCCAGAAGCCACAGTTGATGCATTTCTGACGCCCCGTTGCTCGGGGTGGCCGAGAAAACGGGACTCTTAGCATCCAGGACTCGGACCCCGGGAAGGGCATGTGATTCGGGATGAGAAGGAAAGAAGGGCGAGAGAACGGCTCAGCAGGGTGGGGACTGTGTTCTTTCCAGAAGCGAGTCGGAGAGAGCCTGGCAAGCTCCCCGTGGCGTCTTCGAGATGCCAAACAAAACACAGTCACCACAAGTCTCGCCATGGAGACGTTACTGGCGCCCGCTCGAGCCACTCGATGAACAACGGGAGGACAGTGCGACGGTGCTACTACTGTCTAGACAGAGCAAGGCGGAGGGGGCGGGGCGGGTGGGGGGGGCCCTTCACCGTTCCCTCCCCCCCCCCCCACAGTACCCGGTGCGACTTAATTAATCCTTGATTGATTGTGAGATGGAATCGTTGGGACCCGGAGTGCCAGGGAGCAATTTCATTTTCTTTGCTGCTGAACCTGAACTCGAGCGTCGAGTCATTAGCGAAGGATCCGTGCTTATCACAGTGCCCGGACCGTGAGCTCCTTGTCACGTAGGGAGGATGAGACCCACCGTTTTCTGTGACGCAGGGATTTCTGCGCAACTAATCCCTTCCGCCGTACGTTCCTGGCTGGGTCTGGCTGCACAGAGCCGTGCTCAGCGGAGTGGGGGATGGGGGTGGGTGGGGGAGGGCGATCCCAGGCTGCCCACTGCCCTGAGTGACCTAGGTTGGTCATTGGTCAACAGCTTGGGTTTTTTTTCCCCCTCGGAATTCTAGGGTCAACTGCCGGCCCCCGAGACGAGCCAGTGGGCACGAGACCCCTAACCCAGCACAGAAGCTGGAAATATCCATGGAAAGAGCCCCCGGGTGTGTCCAGAGGCCAGAGGGCAGGACGCAGGTGGGGGTGAGGGCCGGCAGCCTGGTTTCAGGGTTCAGGCTCTGCCCGTAACGGTTTCTGGCTTCCAGGGAGGGGCGGTGTTGAGGCAGTGATGGGGGGGGGGGCGTCCCTGCCTGCCGAGCCCTGAGGGGGTGACAGGGACACCACAGGCCCCTTCAGGCAACCGTCCCCAGATCAGGTGTGTCTGGGGAGGGGGCAGGCGTGTGAGAGGGGGGTCAGGGAGACTTGAGAAGCGGGGTCGAGGGGTGGAGGCACAGGAGGGTTGGCGAGGGCCTCGCAGCATCCGATGGTCCCCAGAAATGATGGAAATGGAGGTTGGGGGTTGTGGCCCCCGACACGCTCGAGACAAGGAGGAGGATGGAGCCGGGGCTGGGGAGAGAGCCCCAGGGGGGCATCCCAGGCTGGGCAGGACTGCGGGGGTCCCCCCACGCCGCTGTGCCCTGGCAGGACCTAGGCTGGGTCTAGCATTGAGCGAGAGTGGGCGCCACTGCACACGTCACACTCAGGGGGGCGGGTGGGGGGCACACACAGGCCTCATCGCCGCAGAGCTGGGCCCTCTCGGGACCGGCCACTTCCCGCTGCCCGGGGCTCTGGCGAGCAAGAGGCACCAGGCCCACCTGCGCCACGGCTGCCCAGGGGAGAGCCTCGGGGGCTGCGGGGCTAGCGGGGCGGAGGGGCCCAGGCGGGTCAGGAGACAGGGCGGGGAGCGAGACAGACAGACAGAAAGACAGGCAGACAAGCAGGCAGAGAGACAGACGGATGGACAGACAGACAGATGAACAGACAGATAGGCAGATGGAAAGAGAGTCAGAGAGACAGACAGATGGACGGACAGAGTCAGACAGACGGACAGGCAGATGGATGGACAGACAGATAAACAGATGGACAGAGTCAGGCAGACGGACGGACAGAGTCAGACAGACGGACAGACAGATGGATGGACAAGACAGATGGACAGAGAGTCAGAGAGACAGATGGACGGACAGAGTCAGGCAGACAGGCAGAAGAATGGACAGACAGACGAACAGAGTCAGACAGATGGACAGAGAGTCGGATAGTCAGACGGACGGACAGAGTCAGACAGACAGACGGACAGAGTCAGACAGATGGACAGGCAGATGGATGGACAGACAGATAAACAGATGGACAGAGTCAGACAGACGGACAGAGACTCAGACAGACGGACAGACAGACGAACAGACAGAGTCAGACAGACGAACAGAGTCAGACAGACGGACAGGCAGATGGATGGACAAGACAGATGGACAGAGAGAGAGACAGATGGACGGACAGAGTCAGGCAGACAGGCAGAAGGATGGACAGACAGAGAGATGGACAGAGTCAGACAGACGGACAGAAACTCAGACAGACGGACAGAGAGTCAGACAGACGGACGGACGGACAGAGTCAGAGTCAGACAGGCAGACAGGCAGATGGACAGGCAGAGTCAGACAGACAGACAGGCAGATGGACGGACAGACAGATGGACAGGCAGAGTCAGCCAGAAGGACAGACGGGGGCTCCCACGGCGCCAGAGGCAGAGCCCCGAGAGGCGAGAGCAGAGTGAGTGGGGCCCGGGGCCCGCGTTCAGGTCCTTGGGCCCCACCCCCGTCTGCCCGGGGCCTCTCGGGCCTGCCCTGCTGCCCAGCCGGGGCCTTGCCAGACGCAAGTGGACGTGATGTCGGCCCGAAGTGCCCCGGCATCCCTGGCCCCTGGGCGGGGACTCCGGCAGGAGAGAGGGGAGCACTTGAGCCCGGGCACCCGCCCGCCAGCAGCCCTGAGGGCTGGGGGAAGCTATGTCGAGTGCAGACACTGGCCGCCAGCCGCGTCTGCGCTTCGCACTTGAGGGCCAGTCGGCCGGGCCGCCCGGACCTTCCCCAGGCCTTCCCCTCTTGGGCCTGCCCTGCCGTTCCCAGCTGTGTCAGCCCTGGGGGTCGACACTCGGGCGCATCTCCACGGGGGCTTCGAAGCGCCTGCCGTCCGCACGTCACCGGCCCCTAGCACGAGGGGACAGGGAGGACATGTCGCCAGTGGGGAGGACGCTGTCCCCCGATTTCCCTGCAGGCTCCAGAAGGACGCGGCGTGGACAGCCCTGGCTCAGGCGGGTGGGGTTTGCAGGGCCTGCAGCCGCCAGGCACGCCCAGGAGGTCCCCAAGGATCAGGCCAGCTGAGGCCTCATTTGAATGGGGGGGCCGGGGGGGCTGGGTCCTCTGGCTGAGGACCCCGACCCTAGATTAGCAGTGCTCAGGGACTCCTCCCAATTCCCACAGAGTGCTGAGCCCTGACCACTGAACCACCTTCCTGGCCCCCCGGGGTTATCTCACCTTCCTGGTGTCATTAGGAAGAATCCAGGGAGCTGTGTCATCACAGGGGATGGGCCAGGAGGCGGCAGTGGGCCTCAAAGCCGGACCACCACCCCCCCCCCCGCCCCAATCTCTGCCTCTCTGCTCTCACCCAGGTTGCCCGATGGGGAAGGATGGATGGACGGATGGACGGATGAATGACTCTCTGCCCCGCTAGAGACGACCGAGCTGGTCTCAGGGAAACCGCAAGTAATTAATCTTTCTCCTTTCCTCCCTGCAGACCCTCCCGGTGGGGGGTTGGCACCCGCGGCTGGTTGATACGATCAGGGGGGCTATTTTCAGAAGCTGTCGACCAACAGCTGAAACCCGAGGGGAGACGCCCCCCGCCCCAACCCCCACAAAGGGTGAGGGGTCTTCAGGACCAGGGAGAATGCAAGGACACGCACAGGGCCTGCAAAGACGAGACTCCAGGGCCCCCAGAACTCTGCCAGGTGTGGAGAGACCCCCCCCCCCAACCACACACACACTGTATAACGGCAACAATCCACAGAATCTGTGCTTTGAATATGTGGCTTTTTTTTTTTTTTTTTGCAAAGCTCATGACTCTTCATTCATCCCACCAAGGGGATATTTTATTGTTTCCTAGAAATGCTAATAACACCCAGCTCATAAATACTAATGAAACACTATAGATTAGCAGCGCTCGGCGAGTAACCCGGGGGCCTGGAAGAGAATTCTGAGATTAAAAAATAATAAAGAGTACCTTTTAATCGAATTTTCCCCAGACTGGGTTCCCACGTGTTAATGAATGCTCTGTGTGGCTCTATGGAGAACAGACGCCAGTTAAGTACCTCCAGGAGTCCTGAAGTGAATTATTGACTGAGCTCTGGCTCAGGAAAGAAATCTACTCATTCGCGGGCTATTTGAGGTGCCACAGGGTGGAGAACTAGGGAACTGGGGTGGCAGGAGGGAGTGGCGAAGGGGTTCCTGGGACGTTGAGATAAACCCGTCACTCCCAGCCCGCGCAGCAACTCGATTGGAAGCGACCCATCCTGTTGGTCGCTTCTGATCTGAAACCCTCCAGAATGATAACGGCCCGGAACACTGGAAGTTCTGTGAGATCAGAAACGAGATCTTTGTTCTTCGTTAGTGAACCCATGCCCCGGCTAACGTGGCACTGCCACGCTGATCGGACACCCAGAACACGCTTATTAACGGGGTGAGGTGTCTTTTTTTTCTCTCTTTTGAATTTTTGGGTCTCACCCGGTGATGCTCAGGGGTGACTCCTGGCTCATGCACTCAGGCATGACTACTACTGACAGTGCTCGGGGGACCGTAGGGGATGCTGGGAATCGAACCCACGTCAGCCACATGCAAGGCAAGCACCCTCCCCGCTGTGCTATGGCTCCAGCCCCCGGACGAGATCTCTCGCAAACATCATCCCAGAGCCTTGCAGACCTCCCCCACGTCACCTCGACCCCCATACCAATGGCAACAGCCTCCTTCAATAAAGGACTCGAGAGAAATACATCAAGTGGGAAGAAACTCCCTCCCTAGGCCACCCCTCCACCCCCAAACCTGCCACCTGAGCCCCCACCTCAACGAAAGGCTAGAAGCTTCTATGCTAGAGTGTTGGAAGGCCTTTCCCACCCCTGTTTCTTACTCGTCTTTCGTGAAGAGCCCCAAGCCCTTCTCCCTCCCTCCCTCCCTCTCTCTCCCTCCCTCTCTCCCTTTCCTCTCTCTCTCCCTCTCTCCTTCCCCCTCCTTCTCCCTCCTTCTCTCTCTCCCTCCTTCCCTCCCTGCCCCCTGCCCTCCAACTGGAGTCACTCAATGCACTTAGGGACCAGCTTGGCCCAGGTCGCAGCAGGGCTTGCCCACCAACGGGGCTGCAGAGCTGAGGGTCAGGCCGGAGCACTGCAGGGGAACACAGCACATGCACCGGGACCACCCAAGTGCATCTGGGGTCCAAGCAAAGGCTTCCGGGAGAAGGGAGGGAAGTCTGCGGAGAGACTAGAGTCTGGACAGCAGGCAGAGAGTGGCCATAGCCGGGGCCCATGGGGCCACTGAGATGGGTTTTCTCTGGAGCGTGCCCATGGCGGGGGAGGGAGTGAGAAGCCTCAGACAGCCCACGGGAGGGGTGGCGAGTTCTAATTCTCCTCTTTGTACGCAGCGGTAGCACAGCGGGTAGGGCGTCTGCCTTGCACGCAGCCAACACGGCCGACCCGAGTTCGATTCCTCCGCCCCTCTCGGAGAGCCCGGCCAGCTACCGAGAGTCTCTCGCCCACACGGCAGAGCCTGGCAAGCTCCCCGTGTCGTATTCTATGCACCAAACACAGTCACAAGTCTCACCATGGAGACATTACTGGCGGTAACTGAACCCTGTCAGGCTGCACTCAAGCCCGGCCAAGCTCAGAGCGCGTGTTTCCTTGGACTGCGCTGAGCCCCTGCGTCTTGTCTGCAGACGCCCCCGAGTTTCAAGGCCCTCCAGGGTGGAACTCTGAACAGGAGGGGGACCCCATCCAGGGGACCCCCCATCCCAACACTGAGCCTGGAGACTGCTTTCCCAGTGCAGGGGTGGAGGCAGGGGAGGAGACAGGAAGCAGAAGTCAGGGAAACACAGGAGACAGAGGCCGTCACAGAACCTGCAATTTGGCCCCTGTTCTCCCTGCTCCCTGCTCCCTGCGCCCCTGCTCTCTCTGCTTCCCCTGCCCCTGCTCTCTCCGCCCCCCTTCCGACTCCCTTTCTGAAGTCTCTGTTCTAAGCATCCAGGGCAGTGATGCTCGCCGCTGAGTGCTCTCTCTGGTCCCGCAGGTGCCGGCATGGAGACCCCGGCCCCGGGGCCCTCCGTGGGCGTGGCCAAGGCCTCGGGCCGGGTCAGGGCCTTCTTCGAGCAGCTGTGGGCCACGGTGCTGATCAAGCACCAGGAGGGCGTGTACAACACGGTGTGCCTGGGCCTGGTGCTGGCGCTGCCCCTGCTGACGCTACTGACGCTGTTCTTCATCTGCTGCCACTGCTGCTGGGGCAACGGCCGGAAGGGGAAGAGGAGGAGGAAGAAGAAAAAGAAGAAGGCGGAGGAAGACCTCTGGATCTCGGCCCAGCCCAAGCTCCTGCAGCTGGAGAAGAGGCCGTCGCTGCCCGTCTAGGGGACCAGGACGCCCGGGCCTGCCCCAACTCCCGGCCGTCGAGGGGATGACGCCGCCAGGCCTGTCCCAGCACCCGGCCCACCCGGACGCCCGCCGCCCCCTCCCGTAGCAACGCTCCTGTGTAGACTCAGCCAGCCCCCCGCCTTTCCGGCACCTTCCTCGAGGGGAGCACAGAGAACCCTCAGCTTCTCCACCCGTGGCTGCCAAGGGCTCAGGCACAGACTCAGGCCACGTGGTACCCAGCCAGGCCCATGCCCTGGGCAGACTGGCCCGAGCAGGCGCTCGGACATCCTTCTGGAACCTTCTGCGCTGTCCAGTCCACGTACCTCTCAGGTCACATTCCCACCCCCGGGTCGACAGAGCCTCTCACTGGAAATCCTCGCCCTGGGACCTTCTCGACGCCCGGTACTGCCCCCCCCCCCTTCCTGGGCTGCTGACCTCTGACCTGGAAGGAAAATTAGGAGGAGGTTTCAAGATTCCTTGAAAGCTCTTACCCTTCACCATAAGGTCCTGTTAGAACCGTGGCCCAAGACCCCTCTCCCCTCAGGTACAGCCCTCGCCCCCGCTCTCAGTGAAGGTGTGGCCGCCAGGTGGCCTGTCCACCTGGGACCGGAAGTTCTTGGGGACCCACTCCCAGAAGGGGCCCTGGGCGCTAGTGCAGGAGGCTTGGGGGATGGAGTGAGTTGCAGCAGAGATGCAGAAGTTATTGGGGGGGGAGGGGAGGAAGGAAAGCAGGTTTGGCGTTCTACGAGGGTCTCCCCCAAACCCCAGAGCTGGGGTCAGGGGCCTCTATGGAGGCCTCTGGCTCTGCAAGGGTTAACTCATACCTCATCACAGCCCTCCAGCGGGGGAGGTGACTGCTTCTGCAGAAAGGGGTGCAAACAGGAACAGGGGTGGTTGGGGGGTCGGGGCACCCAGGAAGCTACGGGAAGTCTCCCCCGTGGCACCATGGTTAGGGGTCACCCGTTTGGGATGCCCAGAGGCTGCACCGGCCAGCTCCCCTGTTCCCTGGATGGTGTGTGGCGGCCCCCTCCAGCGACACCCCACGAAGCTGGCGCGGACCCCACGGGTGACTTGTCAACCCAAGCCCCCAGGTGGCCATGCAAATGCCTCCTGCCGCCCAGGGCCACCCTCATTCAGCTGTGTTCCAGGGGGTCGCGGCCTGGGCGCCTACTCAGAGCTCAGGGTCATGCCCAGAGGCCAGCTGTTCCTGCCCTCCACGCCGCTGGGACCCCTGCCCCGCCCCCGTTCCCCCCCCCGTCCCCCTCCCCGATGGGGAGCTGGAGCCTGTCAATCCCGGTCCCGGGTCCCATACGGCACACACGGTTGCCGTGGCAACAGGCTGGAGTGGGGATGGAGACCTGAGCCAGCTGTCACCATGCCAGGTGGGGGGCCTGGCGGGGCACAAAGACCACCCAGGCACCGTCTCGGGGCCTGGGAGAGCCTGAGTGGGGGGCCTTCTCCCCACCCCCAGCTCCCCTCAACCTCCCTCCCCCCAGGGACTCAGAACAGCCCCCAGAGCCGATCGGCTGCAGGTTCTGGTTGAATACGTGGATGCAGGAAACAGCATCCAAGGCATTTTTTTTTCTTTTTGGGGGTGGGGGGTCCCCACGCCCCATGCCACCTGGGTCTCCTCTTCCTCCCCGTCCCCACTTGGCTCTGTTCCGGCATCCGCCTTCCTCCCCAAAGCACCATCCCGGGGGTCCAACTGGCCTGTCTTGGAGGCAGATGACCCGAAACCGTGAGGGGTTTCCTAAGCCAGCACAGGCAGGGGTGCAGGCCCGGGGGATCTGAGAGTGCCTCAGTGGGGGATTGGGCCAGGGCCACCACTCAGGGGCCTCCCCTGGGGCCACCCCGTCCTCAAGAAGACACATGGTCAAAGTTGTATAGTATTTGTCAGTATTTTTCCTACTGTTGGTCCCATGAAAGAAAATGAAAATATATTTAAATAAAGTCCTTTGAGAATAAGAAGCTTGTCTGGCCGCCTGATGAGGGCCGGGGTCAGATGGCCACAGAGGGGAGGGAGCAGCCCCCCAGTCCACTCAGAGGTGGGAGTGGACAGGTGTAGCTGGAAGCCGGAGGCAGAGAACCGTGGACCATTGTTGTGCTTGATTTTTGTTGTTGTTGTTGCTTTTTGGGTCACGCCTGGCGATGCTCAGGGCTGACTCCCGGCTCTGCACTCAGGAATCACTCCTGGCAGTGCTCGGGGGACCCTAGGGGATGCTGGGAATCGAACCCGGGTCAGCCCTGTGCAAGGCTAACACCCTCCCTGCTGTGCTGTCGCTCAGGTCCCTGGACCATTCTTGAACCAGCACCGCGTGGGTCCCCCACCTTGGGGTCCCCCTGTGTATCCCAGGAAGGGAGACGGGACGGCCTCATTATCAGGGCGGTGTGGAGGGACCAGAGGTGTGGGTCGCCTCCAAGACGGGGAGACGGGGATAGATGACAGCCGGACACGGGTTCGGGATAGGACAGGCAGCAACGCCAAAAGGCTGGACCATGAGGGACGAGAGTCGGGCAGAGATAGTGGCGCTGGTGTGAAGACGGAGGGCGGCTGGGACAGGGGGAGCAGGAACAAAAGACGGGAGCCGGGCGGAGCAGGGGGTCTCACACACACACACACACACACACACGCATGCACACAGATGGAACCAAAGGTTCCGTGGCCGGGGACAGCGGCCGCTGGCCAGCTCCCCGGGGTCTGCGGGATGGGGTCCCACATGTGTTGGCAGCCGGGCGTACTGACTGTGCATCCTGGGAGGCTTAGGGAGGAAGACGGCGCACACGGCCCTTGAGTGGTGGCGGGTGGCCCTCGGTCCCCAACCGTCACCACACACCCCGCCCCTCCTGCCCTGCCCTCTGCCCTTTCCTTGGGGACCCAGAAGCCCCCCCCCCCGAGAGGGCTGGGGAACAGCCACTCCACCCACCCCACCCGGGCTTAGCTGTGACTCGCGGGGTGACTTGTTGATTGGAATAATGTGTCCACCTCCTCAGCAGGGACATTCTCCAAGGTGCGTGCTGGAATAGCCATCGGGCCTGGCAACACGCACACACACACACCCACACGCACACATAGACGCACACAGATACACGCACGTACACACATGCACGTACAGACACACACAAGCACGCACACACACAATACACACACACCTACATGCACACACAAGCACACATTCACATGTGCGCACATACACACATGCACACACACGCACATACACACATATAAGCACACACACGCACACAGACACAGACACACACAGACACAGACACACACACAAACATACGCACAGACACATACACACAAAAACACAGACATGCAGACACACATTCACACACACAGACACACAAGACACAGATACAGACATACACACAGACACAGAGACACAGAAACACAGATACACACACATGCATACATGCGTACATGCACAAACAGACATGGTCATACATACACAAGCACACAGACACACAGACATACAGACACTGACACAGACACACACAGACACACAGACATACACACAGACACACAGACACACACAGACACATACATAGACACAGACACAGACACAGACACACACAGACACAGATAGAGACACACAAACACAGAAATACACAGAGACACACAGACACAGAAACACAGATACACACACATGCATACATGCATACATGTACATACAGACATGGTCATACATACACAAGCACACAGACACACACAGACATACAGACACAGACACAGAGACACACAGAGACACACAGACACACACACAGACACACACACAGACACACACATAGACACACACACACACATAGACACACACAGACACAGATACAGACACACAAACACAGACATACACAGAGACACACAGACACACACACACAGACATACACACAGACAAAGACACACAGACACACACAGAGATACAAAGACACACACACACACACGCACACACACGCACACAAGCTCTCCCAAGGCCCCGGTTCCCTGGTTGGCGCATTAGTTCAAGCCATCACCCACGTGCATTGCCAAGGAACACAGCTTGGGGCTGGGCCACACCAGCAGGGCTGGGCCCTCTGAACCTGACACCCGAGAAGGAAGGAAAGTGACCCCCATCCCCACCCCCCAGTCTCCTCAGGCACAGTGGAGACCCCGGGCGAGTCTGCATGGGGCAACACTGCCCCCTGGTGGCCTGGATGGGCACTTCAGGCCTCTACACAGCCCCCCGCGCCCCCACCTTGGGCCTGGGGCTTGACAGAAACTTCCAGATGCTGGGGAAGGGCTGCAGGGAATGGGGGTGGGGGGGAGGGTTTGCTTAGCACAGGGCTTCCTCCAGAAGACATTCCTTTTTTTACATTTTTTAAAAATTTTATTTATTTATTTTTTGCTTTTTGGGTCCCACCCGGCAATGCACAGGGGTTCCTCCTGGCTCTGTACTCAGGAATCGCTCCTGGCAGTGCTCAGGGGACCCTATGGGATGCTGGGCATCGAACCCAGGTCGGCCGCGTGTCAGGCCAGCGCCCTCCCCGCTGTGCTATTGCTCCAGCCCCAACATTTCTTTTTTTGAACCCAGATTTTTCGGTTTCTCCTGCCTTGGGCACTGTGCCTGGTCCACATTCTCTCTCACACCCCCACCTCGGCCCTGATCTCCGCCCTCTCCCCACGATGACAAGTCCTTGGGCCCCAATCTCTGGCCCCTGGGGGGCCCCCAGCATTGTCTGGTTTTGAAGGACCCGGAGTGGCTGAGTCGTCTCAGTTAAAAGGCCGCTTTCGTGACGTCACTCGGCAAACATCCATCCAGGGGCCCGTTCCCAGAGGAAGTTGGCAGCGGGGTCAACCGTATCTGAACTCTGTCCTGAGGGGCGCCGTTCTCCCCCAGACCCTGTGCACGTGTCACCCAGACCCTTCGCCGCGTACATTCCAGGCAAGCCCTTGCCGACTGCCTGTGCTCCCCACCTGAACCCCCGGAGGGGGAGGCCGTGCTCTGTGCTTCCAACAGAACCCCCAAACCAGCTGCACTTCTGACTCCCTGGGACCTCTACGAAGCTCAGACCCAGCTGACACCCCCCATAACCACCCCCTGTCAACTCTCTGGTCCCATCGGCTGGCCTGCTGCGTTTCTTGGAGGCTGAGGCCAGCCCGTGGCGGGATGCTCCCGTGCCCAGCCCGCCTGTGACCAGGTCGAGGATGGCCACAACGGCTGTGCGCTCAGGCATGTTGGGCGGTGAACCCGCAAAGGCCACGCGCGTGTTTTTGGAAGCACGTGGCTTGGCATACGGCCGGAGGCTCAAACCGGGAGACCGCTTGAAGCCGCGAACGAGACGCGCCACGCAGACAAGAAACCCAGCCCAGTCCACGCCGTTCTCCCGCACGAGCTCCACCTCCAGGGACACGGAGGGTCCAGTTCGACTTCGAATCCACGGATGAAGGGAAAACAGGACAAGGCCCCCCAAATTTAAAAAAAAAACCAAAACGCTTTAATCGAATGGTATCTTCCCCCCCTCCGGAGCAGTAGCTGAGCTACTTCAGGGGTCACCAGCGTCTCAAGAGAAGAATAGCCTGGGGTGGGGAGGGGGGAGCCCCGTGTTCTGGAGAGCCCCAGGACCACGAGAGTTGGGTGCTTGAAAGTCGAGGAGGGAGTTTGTTCGGGGGCTGGTGGACCATCGTGTCCTATAGGGGGCGCTGGAGAGGAGGTGCCAGGTCTTGGGTGTGGTACCCAGGCACAGGATGGGGGGGAGCACAGTGATGGGCTTCATGTCCCCCTCACGACACGGCGATTGTGCAGCGGGGGAGGACTTGGCCCCTTCTCCCCAGCTGAGTTAGACCACCTGGACCCCGGACCCAGAACCCCCCCTTGGGGGCGTCTCCATGGACACGTGTCCCCTTTCTAGACATTTGCAAACGTGACGCGTGTGTGTGTGTGTGTGTGTGTGTGTGTGTGTGTGTGTGTGTGTGATTCGGGTTTCCTTCCGCACAAATCCCAAACACAGCATGACCCCGGGGACACGGAATGTCGGGGGCTCTGCGTGGTGGCCCCCAGGATGTGGGGGTGGGCTCTCTGGGGTCCTGCTCCCCCCGGAAGGTGTTCTGACCGTTGCACTCCCACAAACAATCGCTCCCCCGGACCCGCCGCCCCCCACCCCATCCCTGGGCTGGCCTTGTCTCCCGCGGCGACTGCTCAGGTGGGTTGCTGGAACGTTCCCTGTCACTGATGCTACTGTCCCCTGCTGTGGCCGTGAGGGCGGAGTTTCAACTCCACGTGGGGAATGGAGAATTCGTGTCCTTTCCACGGTTCCCAGTTCACCCCCTAGGAGAGAAAAAACACACACACAGCGTCAGGAAGAGGCAGGTGGGGAGCTCCAGGGTCTAGCAGGGAAACGTCCATCTCTGCTTAGGACAGGTGGACAGGGGAAGGGGGGGGGGTCGCAGGACCACCTGGGAAGGGGCGCTTCCTGCTGGGATGTCGCGGAAGCACAGGCTGGCCCTAGGAGGTGAGGGTCGGCCCAGAAAGACCCCATCAGGCTTAGCTCTGAGCCCCCCTCTTTCCCTTCCCAACAAATTAGAGGCAAAAAATAAACGTATTAATTGGCCAATTGTGTCAAATCATTTTCAATTTAGATTGTTTCGAGATTAGCTCTGGGTAAACGAATGGGACTTGGTGAGCTCCGTTCCGTGTTTTTTTTTTTTTATGGCTTTTGGCGGGAGAGTGTAATCATCTTTAATTCACTTAATAACCCTGCAACCTGGCCAATAAAGAGCCCAAGTGACCGGTTTTTATGTATTTTAATTTGTGGGGGTAAATAATAAACAGGAAGCTAAAAGCCGCACGGAGCGGGAGGGGAACATTAACCGGATGGATGTCTCTTATTAGCAGAGCCGGGTGGGTGAGAGCCGGCCAGACACTCACCGTGAAGGACTCGGCCTCCCAGGCCACCGCGACACCCCAGGCCCACCCTCGGGCCTCCCTGCCGGAAGATTCCCCCTTCCCTTGGAAAAATCCCAGGCGGAGCCGAGGCCCGGATGCCCGCCAGGACGCCGGTCCTGGAAACGCCCTGATCTTTAGAGATGCTGGACTCACAGGAACGCGGGCGCCAGGCACGGTCGAGGACCAGGACCAAGGACGGGGCACAGGGAGCCCAGGCTGAGGGCCCAGGATGCAGGGCGGAGGTGTGAGGGGCTGGGTGATGCTCAGGGCCCAGGGAGACTGCGAGTTAGAGTTTCAGAGCCACGGAGAGGAGAGGCCTCGCCCTGGGTGCCCCCAATCTTGAGGTGAGAGAGAAGCAGGTTCGGTGACAAGCTCTGGCTGAACGGGGGTGGGTCGATTTGGGCAAAGTGGATCTGAGGGTGGATCTGATTTCGGGCGGGAAAGGTTGTTTTCCCCCAAGATGTGCAGCCCAGATCTGCAACAGGACAGTTAGGGGTGGATTTTTTTTTTTTTTCTGCTTTTTGGGTCCCGCCCGGCGATGCTCAGGGCTGACTCCCGGCTATGCACTCAGGAATCACTCCTGGCAGTGCTCGAGGGACCCTAGGGGATGCTGGGGATCGAACCCGGGTCAGCTGTGTGGAAGGTTAAACACCCTCCCCGCTGTGCCATCGCTCTGGTCCCGGCGGGGAGGGGGGGAGAGGAGGGGGAAGCTTTTATCCCTTCCCTCTCCCCCTCCCCTGCCCACCCCCCAAATCCTGTGGTGAAGCTTTAGTCCCCGGTGGGTGGTCCTCGGAGGAAGTGATGAGGTTTACAGGAGGTCCTGTGGGTAGGCCCAACGAATGTCTCTTATTAGCAGAGACGGGACGGTTTAGGGGCTGGAACTCAGACTTTGCACACAGGAGCCCTGGGTGGGACCCTGGCCCCGTGTGGTCCCTGAGCACCAAGCCAGCCCCGGAGTACCACCGGTTGGCCCCCCAAACAAGCCAAGAAGAACCGGGAGAGGAAGAGCCAGAGAGCCAGGACTATCCAGCCCGCAAGGACCCATCAGCGGGACCAGGGGCCACGGGGTCTCAAGCGGGGACGCCCACCTCACTGTGCTTGGTCTCGCCGTATCTGCCGTTGGGGTTGGCCAAGTGGCAGTTCTTGTACCACCAGCCGCCGTGGTGCGTGAGGGCGCAGTTGCTGAGGGCGATGTCGTTGTCGCGGTCGAAGGTGGTGAACTTCCATCCGTTGTGGTAGGTGAGTGCGTCCCCTGCAGGGGCACAGAGGGCAGGTGAGGACCCGGGGGCAGTGGCCAGTCAGGGGCGGGGAGAGCGGGGAAAACGGGGAGTGGAATTCTGGGAGAAGGAACAGGTGGAAATAGGTAGAAATCTGGGTAAAACGGCACGTTCTATTCTGGATTGAAACAGTTTGTGGAAGGGCTGGAGCAACAGCACAGCGGGGAGGGCGTCTGCCTGGCACACAGCCGACCCGGGTTCGATTCCCAGCATCCCATAGGGTCCCCCGAGCACCGCCAGGAGTGATTCCTGAGTGCAGAGCTAGTCGTGACCCCTGTGAAAATCCAGATGTGACCCAAAAAGCAAAAATAAAATAAAATAAAATAAACAAAAATCAAGGGGCCGGAGTGGTAGTATAGTGGGTAGGGCATTTGCCTTGCATGTGGCTGACCTGGGTTCGATCCCCGGCATCCCCTAGGGTCCCCTGAGCACTGCGAGGCGTGATTCCTGAGTGCAGAGCCGGGAGTCAGCCCTGAGCATCGCCGGGTGGGACCCCAAAAGAAAAAACGTTTGTGAATTCTGGGTTAAAGCTGCACCTGCAATTCTGGGCAGAACAGCGTGCAATTCTGGTAAGTGCCAGCTGATTCCGCCACGGCTCCCGGTGTGTGACTGACTAACCCTGCATCCCAGGCTACAGTCAGCACTAGGTGGGTGCGGGGTGGGGGAGGGGCGTCACCATGAAACACCTTCGGAGCACCATGGATGAGAACAATGAACGTCACAGAGGGCAGCGGGGGGGGGGGGGGGTGGGGGGGGGGAGCAGGGGGGAGGGAGGAAGAGAAAACAGGGCAGGAGACACCAGCTGTTCCCCCCTCCCCGCCCCCAGAACGGGCATTCCATGGCATCTCCTGCACGGATGCCACAACTGTCCACAACTGTCCTAGTGGGTGGCTGACATCGAAGGGGAGGCTCACTGGACCGCAGGTCCCCACTCCTGCAGCCTCACTCCTGGGCTGGTGCATCCTGCACTGTGACTTTTCTGTCCTTAAGACACCAGGGTCCGGAGCGACAGGACAGTGCCCAGGGCACTTGCCTCGCGCCCGACCGACCTGGGTTCAATCCCCAGCCCCGCACAGGGTCCAACCGGAAGTGATTTCTGCACACAGTCAAGAGTAAGCCCCCAGTACTGCCAGGTGTGTACACACACCACACAACCCACATACACACACACACACACACACACACACAAGCCACCCGAGCCCCAAACACCCCCAGCAGGGTCCCTACCGCCCCTTGTCCATCCGTGGAGGAGCTGGGGAACCTGCCACGAGCACTTCTGGGTCCACCGAGGCCAAGATGCTGGGGTCCCCCAGGCCGTGGGCACCTGGGGAATGTTTATTGCAACAAACCCAGCTCCCGGGCAGCTGAAGGGTGCAAATTCCCAATGCCCAGATTTTTTTGGTTTGGGGGTGTAGGGCGGGCGGGTAAGAGAGGAATCCCCACGCCAGACAGGCCTTCAAAATCGACCCCAGCGGCTGGAGCGACAGCACAGCGGGGAGGGCGTTGGCCTGGCTGACCCGGGTTCGATTCCCGGCATCCCATAGGGTCCCCCGAGCACCGCCAGGAGTGATTCCTGAGTGCAGAGCCAGGAGGGACCCCTGTGTATCACCGGGTATGACCCAAAAAGCAAAAAAAAAAAAAAAAAAAGGTTGTGCTACAATGCAAACCTCTGAATTCCGGGTACTGAGAGAAGGGATTTACTCAGGGGGTCCACGCAGGAACTGCAAATTTTAGCAAGTTCCATATTAGGGGGCTCAGAGCTTTAATAACCCCGTCTGACCCCACCCCTGCAGTGACAAGGGCCCGAGAGGGCTTGGTCTGGGGGCAACATTCATCTCCCGAAAAACTCAGAGCCCCCATCCCCCGGGCATGGCCACCCCTGCAGGAGCAGGGACCAGGACGCACTCACCGGCAGTTCCCCGGTACTTGCCCACGGAGAGTCTGTAGCGCTCCTTGGCCGAGGCCACCTGGAAGGAGTCGTACACGGCGTAGGCGGACTCGTTGGCCGTGTGCAGGTCTACTCGGACTTCATAGCGGGTGGGGGTGCCGCTGGTGAGGTTGTGCAGCTTGCCCAGTCCTGGATACCAGGCCAAGGGGGACGCAGGAGGGAGGGTGGGATTGGGTGAGGCTGTGCTCCACGCCCAGGATTGGGCCCCTGGGTACCCCAACAACACAAGACGTTGTCTCTGCCGACCACTTTCCTTCTTTTTTATTTTGCTTTTTGGGTCCCACCCGGTGATGCTCAGGGGTTCCTCCTGGCTCTGCAGTCAGGAATCACTCCTGACAGTGCTCGAGGGACCCTATGGGATGCTGGGAATCGAACCCAGGTCAGCTGTGTGCAAAGCAAACACCCTCCCCGCTGTGCTATCACTCCAGCCCCGACACTTCCTTCCTGATGGGGGACTCGCCCTCCACCCCCCGCCCGCCTGGGCCCTCGGACCTTACCCAGCCAGAACTCCTTCGTGGGGTCCCCAAAGCCCTCCACATAGGTCCGCCAGCGCTTGAAGAAGTCCAGCTGGCCCGTGTTCCGTCTCTGGAAGACCTGGGGAGAGACACGGAGCTCCAACACCCCGAGAGGAATGGAACCCCCTCCACGCCTCTCCCCAGTGGGGGGCCTGGGGCTAAGGGGCTCTCGGGCAGAACTTCCTCGTTCCAAAGGATTAGGAGAGGTAGCAGGGGAGATAGCGTGGAGGAATACAGTGTTTGCCTGGCATGTGGCCAACCCCAGATCCCAGGAACTGGGTATGGTTCCCGGAGCGCTTCCAGGAGTGAGCCCTGAACACAGAGCCTGGAGTGAGCCCTGAGCACTGAGCTGGGAGTCAGCCCTGAGCACTGAGCTGGGAGTCAGCCCTGAGCACAGAGCCTGGAGTCAGCCCTGAGCACAGAGCCAGGAGTGAGCCCTGAACACAGAGCCAGGAGTGAGCCCTGAACACAGAGCCTGGAGTGAGCCCTGAGCACTGAGCTGGGAGTCAGCCCTGAGCACTGAGCCTGGAGTCATCCCTGAGCACAGAGCCAGGAGTGATCCCTGAGCACAGAGCCTGGAGTCAGCCCTGAGCACAGAGCCAGGAGTGAGCCCTGAGCACAGAGCTGGGAGTCAGCCCTGAGCACAGAGCCAGTAGTCAGACCTGAGCACGGAGCCCAGGTCGGCCATGTGCAAGGCCAATGCCCTCCCTGCTGTGCTATCGCTCCGGACCCCTCTTTCTCTCTTTCTTTCTCTCTTTCTTTCTTTCTTTCTTTCTTTCTTTCTTTCTTTTCTTTCCCCCTCTTCCTCTCCCTTCCTTCCTTCCTTCCTTTCGTTCCTTCCTGGTCATACCCGGCGATGCTCAGGCCTGACTCCTGGCTCTGCACTCAGGAATCACTCCTGGCGGTGCTCACGGTACCTTCTAGGATGCTGGGGATCGAACCCGGGTCGGCTGTGTGCAAGGCCAACACCCTCCCGGCTGTGCTATCTATGACTCTGTCCCCAAGGCACGTGGCTTTAACCCCTCGCTGCCTAGATCATTCGGCTTTGGGGCGCCACCGTCAGGGGTCGAGAAGCCATCCGAAGCCTGAGTTCCCTGCAGCCTGCTCTGCCTGGGTGGGAAGCATTGGGGGGAGGGGTCCCCCGTCCCACCCACCACACTCCCCTCCCCCACACGGACAGAGGCGGCCCCGGGGACTCACGATCCAGCCGCCTCCATCTGTGTCCATGTCGCAGTAGACCTGCAGGGGCTGGCCGGCCGTGCCGTGCAGGAAGATGGTATAGAGGCCGCTCGCGGCATTGCCGTTCTGCTGGACCTGGCTGCAGTCCGCGGGGTGCGGGAAACGGACGCCCACTGGGGCCAAGCAGAGGGACCATAAGAAACGGGGCGGCAGGCAAACCCCCGCCCCCCACAGCGGGGGCCTTCCTTGGATCCCCTGCCCGGGGGCAGGGTTATTTGGTGACTCTCCACTGCACTCAGGCTGCATCTCTCTCTCTCTCTCTCTGGAACCCCCAAGAACCTTCTAGAAGCAAGAGCAGGCGTGCGTCTCTTCCTTCCCCGACGGGCTGCCTGATCTCCAAAGGAACAGTCCAGCTCTTCTCTGCCTTTGTTCACTGAGCCAAGGGGCTGGGGGTTCTAAGCCTGCACCCCCTCCCCCCCCCCGACTTCCCTCTCATGCAGCCCTAAGAATGTTCTAGAAGGAAGAGGAGGCTCACCGCTGACCCTTCACTAACCGGCTACCCCACCTCCAGGAACATTCCAGTTCCCGCCTGTCTCTGAACCAGGGGATGGGAGGGAGAGACCCAGGGGTTGAGAGGGGGGTTCTAAGACAGACCCCCCCCAACTCCACGCACCCTGAGACCCGGGTCCCAGCCCGCCTTCCTCTGCAGCCGTGCCCCGTTACCTGTGGCCAGGGCCGTGGACGTGCTGGTGCTGTGACGCTCCCCCCGGAAGGCGACCAGGGACACGGGGTGGGTCGCCCCCTGCTCCAGGCCCTGCAGCTCGAAGCTCTGCTCCTCTGGCCCGAGGGTCACCTCCTAGGGCAGAGCCAATGGTCACAGTGTTTCAGTCCATCACCCCGTGGTCACCGAAGTGCTCTGGGCGCCCAGTCCTCAGCCTCCGGGGACACAGGGGCAGACCAGAATCCCTGTTTTAGTTTGGGGGGCACACCCGGCAATGCTCAGGGTGTGACTCCTGGCTCTGTGATCAGAAATCCCTCCTGGTGGTGCTCAGGGGTCCCTCTGGGATGCTGGGAACCGAACTCAGGTCAGCTGTGTGCAAGGTCAACGGCCCTCCCCACTGTGCCCCCAGAGTCCCAGTTTGAGACACGCAAACTCTCAATATTCTGCACCACGTGGAGCACGAGCTGAGATCAGCACTGAGCACTGTGGCAGAAGTAACACACGCCAACACTGAGCACGGTGGCAGGAGGAGCACCCACCAGCCTTCCTCCCTCCAGAGCTGCACGGGTCACTAGCTGCACCCATCAGGCGGCCCCAGGTGGCAGCCAAGTGGTGTGGGTGTGGGTGCGCTGTTTCCCAGGAACCTGCCTCCCTCCGTACGTGGGCCAACGTTCCGGGCAGGGCAGCCCATGAAGACGCCATGTGCCCTCCCACTGGTGTCTTCCCTTCACACCGGGGAAGGGCCATTTCCCCCCGGGACACATTCTGAAATCCAGGTGGCGCCGATGCCAGGGACTGGCACAGCCCTGCGATCCGGGGCCACCAATTCCTTCGATAAATATTCACACACCATCGATATCTCTGTGGACATGACAGGAAATCAAACAGACAAAGCCAGCTCTGTCCTTGGGGTGGGAGCGACAGTGCGGGAGGTGGGGGGCGTTTGCCTTGCATGCGGCTGACCTGGTTCAACCCCAGACACCCCAGATGGATCCCTCACAGACCCACAGCAGTGCGGAGCCAGGAGTCAGCCCTGAGCACCACCCACGAGTGTCTTTGAAACAAAACAAAGCGCTCTGTCCCAGGGAACAGAGATAGCTGGCGTGCATATGGCTGATCCGGGTTCGATCCCCGGCATCCCCTAGGGTCCCCCGAGCACCGCCAGGAGTGATTCCTGAGTGCAGAGCTGGGAGTCAGCCCTGAGCATCGCCAGCTGTGGCCCCAACAACACCACAGAAACGGGGGTTTTGTCCCTTTGGGACTCAGGAGTAGAGGACAGGCATTATATGAATGGGACACAGAATTTCATCCCCTTTGCGTATATTCAGACACACACACACACACACACACACACACACACAAACACACACACAGAATCCTCCTCGAAGGTGACCAATAAGCCAGACACGGGCTTGGGAGATGTCGTGGAGCATGTGGGAGTCACAGGCTGGAACCCCCACCCTTTGTGATCCATCGAGTGCTAGGCCAGGGGCCCCGAGTGATAGCACAGCGGGGAGGGCGTTTGCCTTGCATGCGGCCGACCTGGGTTCGATCCCCGGCACCCTATAGGGTCCCCCAAGCACCGCCAGGAGTGCAGAGCCGGGAGTCAGCCCTGTGCATCGCCAGGTGCGACCTCCCGCCAAAAATAATAAAATAAGGTGATGGGCCAGAAGATATGGCACAGGAGAGAACAGCTGACAAACAGTGCTCAAGAATGCTGAGAGCAGGTTGTGGGCCACCAGGGCCGGGTCGGGAGACAATCCAGCCAGCCTGGGCCATGTTCTCTAGGGACCGGCTCGGCGGGGTGCTTGGCGGGGACGGACCCCGTGCCCAGTACCTTGGCAGTGCCATCCGGGAACCGGTAGGTCAGGATGTAGCCGTCGATCACGGCGTCAGGCGGTGCCCAGGTCAACACCCCACCGGACTGCGTCACTGCAGACGGACGAAGGTTTTTGGGAGGGTCGATGCCTGCGGGTGAAGATGCCGGGAGGACTTGAGTTCCGGGGGGCTCCCCACATTCCCCACCTCTTCCTCAGGGACCCGAGTGTAGGATGACTTTGGTTTGTCCTTTCTGCCTCGCCGCAGGGAGCTTAGGTTGCTTGGGTCACTCCCATCACAGTGCTCCCATTCCGCTGTGTTTACTCGTAACTTCTTTCTTTGTGCACTGTGGACTCGTAAGTATTGTTTTTTCTCTTCTCCTTAAGTCCTTCGCATAGTTAATTCAGAGCAACGTCCTTTTTTCGTGTAGACACAGGAAGACAGCAAATGCTATGCTTTAGTGACTTGGGAGTTAAGTGAATGATATTTTCATCCTGGACTTTTTCTCTCAACTTAAGCCTCAGTTGCCCTAACTTCCTCAGTTGACCCCCAAAGCGGGGGTCCCGACTAGGGACTGGATGGACCCAGGGCAAGCGGTGAGCTATGTGCTACCCTGGCATCGAGATGGGCCTGGCCAAAGCGCCATCATGCTTAACTATAAGTTAAGAGGTTGGTCATGGACAAATTCTGTCATGATCCAAAAAGCAATAATAATAGATTCGGACCCTGCTAGGGTAACAAAAAAATCAATCTGGCCTGAGCACTGTAGTCTGGGTCCGTGGCGAGATGTCCCCGGGACAGCCACCCTTCAAGCTCAAAGTATCTCGTAAGTGTCCATACTAAATAATACTACGGAGTAGAATTAAGATGTAGATTAAGCTATTGAACTGAGGAGAGGAGAAAAACACCTTACAGTGGTTTTTTTGCCCCCTGTAAAGTGAGCCAAGGAAGGGCTTTCTGATGTTGATTTGGCTACCAAGCAGGATGTAGCTTCTGCCCCTAGTGCCGAGGAGTTGGAGGAAGACTCGGGAGTTGGAGAGAGGTGAGAGAGCCCAGGGCAGCAAGACGGAGCGCGGAGAGGCTAGCAAGGGGGGCAGAGGGAGACGACTGCAGAGGAAGAATACAGGAGCCCGGAGAGAGAGGACCCAGGCCGCGAGATGGAGCACAGGGAGATGAGCGGGAGAGACAGGAGGAGCCGGGAACGAGGGGCAGTGGGAGACTGGAATGGGGGCTCGGAGAGCCGGGCCCTCGTCTCCTCAACTGCCCCGTAGCCTGGGCCGCCCCGGGTGGGGGAGACCACTGAACGCGGGCGGCGAGAAGGAGAGTCCTTGGGGCTCTCCCTAGCTGTCCGGAATATTGTGCACCTGAGCCCCACCAGGAGGGGTCCTGAGTGCAGGAGTGGAGGAGGAGAAGGAAGAGAGCGCGGAAGGAGGATCAGGAGGAGGAAGGGGAAGAAGGAGAAAGAAAAAGAAAGGGAGAAAGAGAGGAAGAAAGAGAGAGGAAGGAAGGAAGGAAGGAAGGAGAGAGGAAGGGAGGGAGGAAGGAAGGAAGGAAGGAAGGAAGGAGGGAGGGAGGGAGGGAAGGAAGGGATGAAAGGAAGGAAGGAAGAAAGAGGGAGGGAGGGAAGAAGGAAGGAAGGAAGGAAGGAAGGAGGGAGGCAGGGAGGGAAGGAAGGGATGAAAGGAAGGAAGGAAGAAAGAGGGAGGGAGGGAAGAAGGAAGGAAGGAAGGAAGGAAGGAAGGAGGGAGGGAGGGAGGATGGAAGGATGGATGGAAGAAGGGAGGGAGGAAGGAAGGAAGAGAAGGAAGGAAGAGAAGGGAGGGAGGGAGGGAGGGAGGATGGAAGGAAGGAAGAAAGGAAGGAGAGAGGGAGGGAGGGAGGGAAGAAAGAAGGAGGGAAGGAGGGAAAGAAGGAAGGATGGATGGAAGAAGGGAGGGAGGAAGGAAGGAAGGGATGGAGGGAGGAAGGGAGGAAGGAAGGAAGGAAGGAAGGAGAGAAGAAGGGAGGGAGGGAAGGAAGGGATGAAAGGAAGGAAGAAAGTGGGAGGGAGGGAGGGAGGGAGGGAAGAAAGGAGGGAAGGAAGGAAGGAGGGAAGGATGGGTGGAAGAAAGGATGGATGAAAGGAAGGATGGAGGGAGGGAGGAAGGAGGGAAGGAAGGAGGGAGGGAAGGAGGGAGGGGAGGAGGGATGAAAGGAAAGATGGATGGAAGGAAAAATGGCAGGAATGATGGAAGGGAGGGAGGATGGAAGGAAGGAAGGAAGGAAGGAGAGAAAGTCTGTGCTCCCTGTCCAAGTGCCCCAGGGTGCTCAGGCCTCAGCTGCAAGCCTGACGACCTACCACAGTGGGGGACAGGCCCCACCCCAGAAAGGAAGGACAAAGGAGAAAGCAGCCCGGGAGGTCCTGGTTTGCAGGGGCCGGGGCACACCTCTGTATGCAGAAGTCCCAGGTTCGACCCTCAGCACCACAAGGTCTGAGCACTGCGGGGAGCCTCCCGGAGCACTAAGGCTGAGCTTCAGAGTGGAGAAGAACCGAGAAGAAAGAGAGAGAGGGGAGCCAGCTTTGTTCTGGGACAGGCAAGAACAAACAGCAGCTTCTGAGAAATTCTAGCCAAGTGCAGGAAGAACCGGCCAGACCAGTTTTTTTTTTTAAAAAAAAAACCAAATTCATTAGGCATGAATGGAAATTTCCATTTTGGGGAAAGAAAAAAAAAAGAGCCTAGAAGGTGATTTTAATTTAGGAGTTTCCCCAGAATAGATTCGTCCAGGCTATTTTCTGCCCAGCGGTGGCGGCGGCAGCAGCCGTTTGGGGTGGGGAACGGGGCTTTCATAGAAATTGTGCAGCTGGTGCTGTCGCGGGGATGTTTGGGCCAATTTTAAGTTTCTGGAACATCAGCCCGCTCGAGTCTCTAAAGTGGGACATCTGGTGTGGGTTTGGGTCTGGCCATCGCGGGGGGAAAAAGACAAATTCCTGCTTGTAAGGGTCAAAGCAACGTCAAGGCTGAGTGTCGAAGTGGACCCCTTGATGCCCAACCCCCGAATGACCTCTGTGTGGATCCCCCCTTCTTTATTGGGTGGGGGGCTCCCAAGCAGGACTCGGGAGGGGGCCGAGGGAACAGGCTCTCAGGGGAACATTCCGATCCCTAGAGATCACCAGCCCCCCCCCCCCCACACACGGTATTCAGGGAGTCCCCACTCAGGCAGCGCTGACCACTGGGCCACCTTCCAGGCCCGTGCTCTGCCACATTATGATGAAGCAAAAAAGAGGGTAAAACTGGGGTGGAGGCAAGCTCAGGAAGAGGAGGCAGGAGTAAAGAGAGGAGGGAGGAGAGGGAGCAGAGGGGGGAGGGGACGGAGGACGTGGGGGAGGGAAATGGGGGAAGAAGGGAGGGGAGGAGGAGGAGGAGGAGAGAAGGAACAGGTGGGGGGCGGGACGGAGGGAGGGGAGGGGTGAGGCCCAGCCCAGCTGCCCCAGCACCCCATGTCCCTTTATTTTTATTTTTATTTATTTTTGGCTTTTTGGGTCCCACCCGGCGATGCTCGGGGCTGACTCCCGGCTCTGTGCTCAGGAATCACTCCTCGCAGTGCTCGGGGGACCCTATGGGATGCTGGGGATCGAACCCAGGTCAGCGCATGCCAGGCAAATGCCCTACTTGCTGTCCTATCGCTCTGGCCCCTTCTTTTTTTTTCTTTGGGGGTCCCACTTGGTGACGCTCAGGGATCACTCCTGGCGGTGCTCGGGGGACCCTAGGGGATGCCGGGGATCAAACCCGGGTCGGCCGCGTGCAAGGCCAACGCCCTCCCTGCTGTGCTGTTGCTCCAGCCTCCTGTGTCCCTTGAAGACCCCCCCCACAAACCTACTAAAAATAATCCCCTGGCAAAACCCAACCTTTAGTTTTTTTGTTTTTGGAGGGGTGGGGGTGGAAGGGGAACCACACCTGGTGGTGCTCAGGGCTGACTCCTGGTTCAGTGCTCAGGGATCACTCCTGGCGGATCTGGGCCACCCTGGGGGCAGGGGGGTCACCCCTAAGTTTTACCCCTGCACACTGGCAGCTGGAGACCCGCTCTGCCTGATTCGCTCTCGCGCTCTACAGCTGTGCACATGTTATCTGCAGTCTTTGGGTGTCGGGGCAAAGCCCACCCCCTCGTCTCTCACTCGCTTCTTCCTTCCGGTCAAACAGCCCCTCCCCCCACCAGGACGGTCACCCCCACAAGCCCCATTCCACAGCCATCACCAGCCCCCCGGTGCCCCTACGGTACCTGTCGGGGCCTTGGTGTCGGCCTTGCGGCTCCCCCGGGCGCCCTTCTCGGCCCACACGAGCACCGTGTACTCCACGCCCGGCCGCAGCCCCGTCAGCACCGTGCTGGTCTGCTCCTTCCCCACGGCCACGTCCCGGCTGTCCCCGTCGGGCGAGGTGACACGCACCATGTACCTGTCGATGGGCGCCCGCACGGGGTCCCAGGACACGGTGGCCGTGGTCTCGGTCACCTGCTTGGTCACCAGGTTTTGGGGACTGTCGAGGTCTGAAAGAAAATGAACAAGTCAGGGGCCGGAGCGATAGCACAGCGGGGAGGGCGTTTGCCTTGCACGCGGCCAACCCGGGTTCGATTCCCAGCATCCCATATAGGGTCCCCTGAGCACCGCCAGGAGTGATTCTTGAGTCCAGAGCTAGGAGTAACCCCTGAGCATCGCCAGGTGGGACCCAAAATCAGAAAGGAAGGAAGGAAGGAAGGAAGGAAGGAAGGAAGGAAGGAAGGAAAGAAGGAAGGAAGGAAGGGGAAGGAAGGAAGGAAGGAAGGAAGGAAGGGGAAGGAAAGAAGGAAGGAAGGAAGGAAGGAAGGAAGGAAGGAAGGAAGGAAGGAAGGGGAAGGAAGGGGAAGGAAGGAAGGAAGGAAGGAAGGAAGGAAGGAAGGAAGGGGAAGGAAGGAAGGATGGAAGGAAGGAAGGAAGGAAGGAAGGAAGGGGAAGGAGGGAAGGAAGGAAGGAAGGAAGGAAGGAAGGGGAAGGAAGGAAGGAAGGAAGGAAGGAAGGGGAAGGAAGGGGAAGGAAGGAAGGAAGGAAGGAAGGAAGGAAGGAAGGAAGGAAGGAAGGAAGGGGAAGGAAGGAAGGATGGAAGGAAGGAAGGAAGGAAGGGGAAGGAAGGAAGGAAGGAAGGAAGGAAGGAAGGAAGGAAGGAAGAAAACGAACAAGTCAGAGGCTTCGAGAAACGCCCACAGTACCTGACTCGGGGCACTGCCCATCCCCTCCTGTTTCCTTCGGGGAGGGGGGAAGCAGCGTCCCTAGCAACATCTGGACTCACCGAAACCCCCCACCGGCATCCACTGGGTCGCAGGGAGGAGGGGATCTATCAGGCCCTCTGGCCAACTCCATGGTGAAGCTTCTAGAAGGACCATCTCGAAGGCCCAGAGCCCCTCGGAATGTCTGCTGAAATGCTGGAAATCGGCCTCTGCGTCCCTCAGCTCTCCCCTCCACACCCCCTTGTAGAACATTCGGTGTCTCATGGACCATCATCCACCCCATCCTGGGACCAGAGGGTCTAGGGTCTTACTTTGCTCCCCCTTTTAATTTTTATTATTTTGGGGGGAGGGGTCACACCCGGCAATGCTCAGGGGTTCCTCCTGGCTCTGCACTCAGGAATTACTTCTGGCAGTGCTCAGGGGACCCTATGGGATGCTGGGAATCAAACCCGGGTTGACTGCATGCAAGGCAAATGCCCTCCCCACTGTGCTATAGTTCCAGCCCCATTTTTTTTTCTTTTTGGGTCCCACCCAGTGATGCTCAGGGCTGACTCCTGGCTCTGCACTCAGGAATCACTCCTGGCGGTGTTCAAGGGACCCTATGGGATGCTGGGGATCGAACCCGGGTCAGCTACATGTAAGCCAAGGCCCTACCCACTGCACCATCTATCTGGCCCCCTTGCTTTGACCAGCTTCTCACATCTTTCATTACCTGTCGGGGCCTTGGTGTCGGCCTTGCGGCTCCCCCGGGCGCCCTTCTCGGCCCACACGAGCACCGTGTACTCCACGCCCGGCCGCAGCCCCGTCAGCACCGTGCTGGTCTGCTCCTTCCCCACGGCCACGTCCCGGCTGTCCCCGTCGGGCGAGGTGACACGCACCATGTACCTGTCGATGGGCGCCCGCACGGGGTCCCAGGACACGGTGGCCGTGGTCTCGGTCACCTGCTTGGTCACCAGGTTTTGGGGACTGTCGAGGTCTGAAAGAAAATGAACAAGTCAGGGGCCGGAGCGATAGCACAGCGGGGAGGGCGTTTGCCTTGCACGCGGCCAACCCGGGTTCGATTCCCAGCATCCCATATAGGGTCCCCTGAGCACCGCCAGGAGTGATTCTTGAGTCCAGAGCTAGGAGTAACCCCTGAGCATCGCCAGGTGGGACCCAAAATCAGAAAGGAAGGAAGGAAGGAAGGAAGGAAGGAAGGAAGGAAGGAAGGAAAGAAGGAAGGAAGGAAGGGGAAGGAAGGAAGGAAGGAAGGAAGGGGAAGGAAAGAAGGAAGGAAGGAAGGAAGGAAGGAAGGAAGGGGAAGGAAGGGGAAGGAAGGAAGGAAGGAAGGAAGGAAGGAAGGAAGGAAGGAAGGAAGGGGAAGGAAGGAAGGATGGAAGGAAGGAAGGAAGGAAGGAAGGAAGGAAGGAAGGAAGGGGAAGGAAGGAAGGAAGGAAGGAAGGAAGGAAGGAAGGAAGGAAGGAAGGGGAAGGAAGGGGAAGGAAGGAAGGAAGGAAGGAAGGAAGGAAGGAAGGAAGGAAGGAAGGAAGGAAGGGGAAGGAAGGAAGGATGGAAGGAAGGAAGGAAGGAAGGGGAAGGAAGGAAGGAAGGAAGGAAGGAAGGAAGGAAGGAAGGAAGGAAGAAAACGAACAAGTCAGAGGCTTCGAGAAACGCCCACAGTACCTGACTCGGGGCACTGCCCATCCCCTCCTGTTTCCTTCGGGGAGGGGGGAAGCAGCGTCCCTAGCAACATCTGGACTCGCCGAAACCCCCCACCGGCATCCACTGGGTCGCAGGGAGGAGGGATCTATCAGGCCCTCTGGCCAACTCCATGGTGAAGCTTCTAGAAGGACCATCTCGAAGGCCCAGAGCCCCTCGGAATGTCTGCTGAAATGCTGGAAATCGGCCTCTGCGTCCCTCAGCTCTCCCCTCCACACCCCCTTGTAGAACATTCGGTGTCTCATGGACCATCATCCACCCCATCCTGGGACCAGAGGGTCTAGGGTCTTACTTTGCTCCCCCTTTTAATTTTTATTATTTTGGGGGGAGGGGTCACACCCGGCAATGCTCAGGGGTTCCTCCTGGCTCTGCACTCAGGAATTACTGCTGGCAGTGCTCAGGGGACCCTATGGGATGCTGGGAATCAAACCCGGGTTGACTGCATGCAAGGCAAATGCCCTCCCCACTGTGCTATAGTTCCAGCCCCATTTTTTTTTCTTTTTGGGTCCCACCCAGTGATGCTCAGGGCTGACTCCTGGCTCTGCACTCAGGAATCACTCCTGGCGGTGTTCAAGGGACCCTATGGGATGCTGGGGATCGAACCCGGGTCAGCTACATGTAAGCCAAGGCCCTACCCACTGCACCATCTATCTGGCCCCCTTGCTTTGACCAGCTTCTCACATCTTTCATTACCTGTCGGGGCCTTGGTGTCGGCCTTGCGGCTCCCCCGGGCGCCCTTCTCGGCCCACACGAGCACCGTGTACTCCACGCCCGGCCGCAGCCCCGTCAGCACCGTGCTGGTCTGCTCCTTCCCCACGGCCACGTCCCGGCTGTCCCCGTCGGGCGAGGTGACACGCACCATGTACCTGTCGATGGGCGCCCGCACGGGGTCCCAGGACACGGTGGCCGTGGTCTCGGTCACCTGCTTGGTCACCAGGTTTTGGGGACTGTCGAGGTCTGAAAGAAAATGAACAAGTCAGGGGCCGGAGTGATAGCACAGTGGGGAGGGCGTTTACCTTGCACACGGCCGACCCGGGTTCGATTCCCAGCATCCCATATAGGGTCCCCTGAGTACTGCCAGGAGTGATTCCTGAGTGCAGAGCCAGGAGTGACCCAAAAAAGGAAAAAAGAAAGAAAGAAAAGCATTGACCAACTCCCAGCTTCTGGAAAAGCCAGCAGGACCCAGGTGATGAACTCAGTAAACGCCTGAGTTTGTTCTCCGCCAATCCTAGAGCTTCAGGGTTTAATGAAGGGAGTGGCCTAAAGTCCCAAGAACGAGCCCAGAGCACGTGACGAGACAAGGGTTTCCGACCCGGCCGGCAGAAAGCCGTGGTCTGCACATTCTTCCCGGCCTTCGGTGAAAAAAAATAATAAAACCTGATGGTGAATATCTCCTTCACCCCGGATTTTTCTAATCCCTGCTTCCAGGCCCGATTTCTGGTACCCAAAAGCAATTACATTCCCAGCAAATCTCTGCTCACATGTGTTCTGTGGGAAGAAAACGATGTTGAAGGTCAGAATCATTCTTTCCACAGAACAAGTCACGCGCCCATGGCCAGGAACCAGGAAACCGGATTTTACTCTGGTTTTTAACTTATTTTTGTGTTGGGCCATGCCTGGCGGTGTGAGGGCTGACTCCTGGCTCTGTGCTCAGGCATCGCTCCTAACAGGGCTTGGGGGGGCATTAAGGGGTGCTGGGGACCGAGTGTCAACCACGCAAGACTGTCGCTCTCCCCGCTGAACTATCGCTCTAGCCCCGAACCGGAAAACTTTCAACTGATGACTGGGCTGAGAGAAATCATCCCACACGTGGAATCTGTCTAGATTTAGCTTGGATTAAACTAGGATATTTTAATAGTTTAATTTGATATTTGAGCTTGTTTGGAGGTTCTAGCAGGGGAGAGGGCTGGAGGGATAGCATAGCGGTAAGGGCGTTTGCCTTGCACGCAGCCAACAGGGCCGACCCGAGTTCGATTCCTCCGCCCCTCTCGGAGAGCCCGGCAAGCTACCGAGAGTATTCGATATGCCAGACACAGTAACAACAAGGTCTCCAATGGAGACGTTGCTGGGCCCGCTCGAGCAAATCGACGATCAACGGGAGGGCCTTTTACCTTTTAATTTGATATTTAGTAAATGTAATAGTTTAATTTGGGCCAGAGCCCCCCAAAGGTCAGTCTTTAAAGCGTCCAAAAAACCTTTTGGGATGGAAGGAGGGAAGGAGACTGGGGACACTGGTGAGGGGACGGGTCATCAAAACAGGGTCATGAACAACTTTGTAGCTGTGTATTTCAAAGTGATTTAATTAAAAGATAATTAACAAGGAGTCCAAAATTCTAGGTAACAAGGTGTGTGTTTAAAATCCAGCTGCAGGGTCTGGAGCGAGAGCACAGCGGGGAGGGCGTTTGCCTTGCACGCGGCCAACCCGGGTTCGATCCCCGGCATCCCATAGGGTCCCCCGAGCACCGCCAGGAGTGATTCCTGAGTGCAGAGCCGGGAGGAAGCCCTGAGCATCAGCTGGGTGGGACCCAAAAAGGAAAAAAAAAAAAGACAAAGTGATACAAAGTGTCATAGTGTTTTGAAGGTGATACAAAGTATCATAGTGTTTAATGGGTGATACAAAGTATCATGGTGTTTAAAAGGTGATACAAGGGCTGGAGCAATAATACATCAAGGAAGGCGTTTGCCTGGCACGCGGCCAACCCGGGTTCGATTCCCAGCATCCCATAGGGTCCCCCGAGCACCGCCAGGAGCGATTCCTGAGTGCAGAGCCAGGAGTCAGCCCTGAGCATCGCCAGATGTGACCCAAAAAGCAAGCAAAAAAAAAATGTCGATAAGATCCCGCCGCCAACGAGCAGAGGGAGCGTCTCAAGGTGGGAGCCCAGCAATGCGCCCTCCCAGCCTCCTCACCTGTGAGCGCCTGTGTATCAGCCTTCTTGCTCTCCTGGTCGCCCCGCTCGGCCCAGACGAGCACCGTGTAGGCCTGGCCCGGCTCCAGGCCCGTCAGCAGGGTGCTGCTCTGCTCACTGCCCACCGCCACGTCCGTGCTGTCCCCCGCCGCCGACGTGTACCGGACCACGTACTTGTCGACGACTGCCTGCACGGGGGCCCAGGAGACCAGCGCCGTGTCCTCGGTCACCCGCTCTGTGACCACGTGGGCGGGGCTGTCGAGCTCTTGGGGAAGGCGGGTGAGGAAGGAACATGAGAGAAGTTAAGGGTCCAGGGAGGGTCGCTGGGCCAGGGGCCAGCGGATGGGTGAAGGCGCCGGCCCTGAGCAAGGCTGACCCCAGGTCCACCCCCAACAACTGCAGAGGAAGGGGCCGGAGCAATAGCACAGTGGGGAGGGCATTGGCCTTGCATGTGGCTGACCCGGGTTCGATCCCCGGCATCCCATGTGGTCCCTTGAGCACCACCAGGAGTGATTCCTGAGTGCAGAGCCAGGAGGAGCCCCTGTGCATCTCCGGGTGTGACCCAAAAGACAAAAACAACCTCAGAGGGTCCCCTGAGCACCACTGGGTGTGGCTCAAAACCCACAAAGGAATAAATAAGGAAAAACTAAAGGAATTTGTAAATATTATAAAGGAATTGCCCGCACGGCAAAGCCTGGCAAGCTACCGGTGACGTATTCGATGTGCCAAACACAGTAACAACAAAGTCTCCAATGGAGACGTTACTGGGCCCGCTCGAGCAAATCGATGAACAACGGGAGGACAGAGTGACAGTGGTAAAGGCATCAAAACAAGAGAGAATCAGCAGGAAGATTGTAAGACTCGCTCTTACCCCCCTGGGTGCTTCTAGCCAGGGTGAGATTCTCAAGAGCGAGCAAACTTTCGTGGTTTGTTTTTTGGGGGGCACGCCTGAGGGTGGCCTCCATGACCACTGGCCGACTGCATGCAGGGCGGGTGTCCGACCCACTGTGCTATTTCTCCAGGCCCTCAGGAGCAAGAAACCCTTTAGCACCCTGGACCCTAATGGGTCTCCGTCCCACGGAACCTTCTTGCTCACAAGCCTCAGAGCCGGGGTGGGGCGGGGCAGGGAGGGGGGCTCCCAGGAAGCCCTGCTCACCTGTGCGGCCACTGAGGACGATCGGGGTGCCCTCCTGGTCCCCTCGCACGGGGACCACTGTGATCTGATAGTCAGTCCCAGGCTGCAGACCTGGGGAGACGCGGGCGTCAGGACGGGCCCCGCCCGCGTCCCAGAGCAACCCTGCCCAGAGCCAGGGAGACCAGGAGAAGCAGCCGCAGGGGACCTTCCCTGGGGGGACAGAGGGATGCGGGGGTCCACGGCTCTGAGCAGCATTCACCAAGCCGGGCACAGGACTGCGCGTACACACAGACAGACAGACAGACACACACACACACACCTCTGATCACCTGTGCACACACATAAAAACACCCCTCTGATCACCTGTACACACACACAACTCTGATCACTTGTTCAGAACAAAGACACACCACACACACCCCTGATCACCTGTACACACACACACAAGCCTCTGATCACCTGTACACACACATACAAACACCCCTCTGATCACCTGTACACACACACAACTCTGATCACTTGTTCAGAACAAAGACACACCACACACACCCCTGGTCACCTGTTCACACAGACACACACACACACACCTCTGATTACCTGTACACACATACACACACCTCTAATCACCTGTACACACATACATACACACACACTGAACTCTGATCACTTGATCAGAACAAAGTGAGTCCCGTGCTCTCTCTCTGAACGCATGTGCACACACACACACACACACACACACACATACACACAGGCACACGCACATGCTTCATCCCAAAGGAATGCTTTGTTGCCATCATGTCCACCCTTGGCAGGGTTCCTGCAAAAGGGACTGGAAGAACATTCTAGAAGCATAACCTTTTAACGAACGAACCGGGTATTCTGGGACTCTGGCGCCCAGTCCAACGGCCTCCAGGCTGGGAGTTCCGGGCTCAGTACCGGAGGGATCTCCGGAGACCCCGGGCCCTCGGCGCCCCCCGAGGAGCACGGATGTTGGCTCCCAGCCCCACAGCAGTGGCCAACGGCCCCCGTTCCTCGGAGGCTCTTACCGGTGATGTCATAGCGGGTCTTGGGTTCGTTGCTTTTGGGCACAGTGACCTCGGCCACCTCCTGGCCGTCCAGGGGGCGGTAATGCAGCTTGTAGTAGTCTATCTGCGTGGGCGGGTTCTCCCACTCCACGTCCAGGGAGTGCTCCGTCTCCTCGGTCACCCAGGCCGTGCCCTGCAGGGCGAGATCTGGGGGGTGGGGAGCGAGAGGACAGTGAGGAGCAATGGGCGCAGACCCCCGGCAGGGCATCCTCCGTGCCCAGGACCCAGGCACGAGGAAAAATCCGAGAGCCACACGGCCGGAGCGACAGCACAGCGGGGAGGGCGTCCGCCTTGCACACAGTCCACCCGGGTTCCATCCCCAGCATCCTACAGGGTCCCCTGAGCACTAGCAGGAGTGATGCCTGAGCACAGAGCCAGGAGTCAGCCCTGAGCATTGTTGGGTGTGGCCCCAAACCACCACCACCACCACCAACAAAATGTCTGAGAGTCACCAACGCAGCCAGTTAGCCACTGGGTTTGGGTTTCTGGTGTCTGTGTGCCCAGGGTCACCCATGGCACTGCAGAGGCCAAGCAACAGCACGTCGTTGGTCCCCGACCACTGCTCTGATGGGCTGAGAATCACCGGATGATTCTGGGCCTCCAAAAACAAATCTTGATTGGCTCCTCCTTCTGTCTCAGACCCGCTGAGACCAGAGTGATAGGTAGCACAGCGGGGAGGGCGCTTGCCTGGCACGCGGCCGACCCGGGTTCGATCCCCAGCATCCCATAGGGTCCCCCCGAGCACCGTCAGGACTGACCTCTGAGTGCAGAGCCAGGAGTCAGCCCTGTGCTTTGCAGGGTGTGACCCAAAATGCAAAAAAAAAAAATTAAAATAAAAACTGGTGGTTTCGTAAGTGCACAGGACACAGCAGAGCCTGAAAGATGCCCAGCTAGACTTTCTGAGGGATTCTCTGCACACACACAGACACATACACACAGACACACACAGACACACACACGCAGACACAGACACACGCAGACACACATGCATACAGACACACACATACATATACACATACACACAGACATACATATACAGACACACACAGATATACACATACAGAGACACACATACACACAGACACACAGACACACACCATACACAGACACACGCAGACACACACACCATACACATACACACAAATAGGCACACACACATACACAGACACAGACAAACACATACACACACATACACATACACAGACCACACACAGACACACAGATATACGCAGACACACACACATACACATACACATACAGACACACACACCACGCACACACAGACACACGCACACACACATCACACACAGACACATGCAGACACATACCACACACATAAACACAGACACACAAACACACAGACACACAGAGACACACAGACATATACAAACACACACACCACACACATACAAAAAGACAGACACATACATACATACACAAGCATACCACATACATAAACACAGACACACAAACACACACAGACACACAGAGACACACAGACATATACAAACACACACACCACACACATACACAAAGACAGACACATACATACACACACAAACATACCACACACATAAACACAGACACACAGACACACAGAGACACACACAGACACACAGACATATACAAACACACACACCACACACATACACAAAGACAGACACATACATACACACACAAACATACCACACACATAAACACAGACACACAGACACACAGAGACACACACAGACACACAGACATATACAAACACACACACCACACACATACACAAGGACAGACACATACATACATACACAAGCATACCACACACATAAACACAGACACACAAACACACACAGACACACAGAGACACACAGACATATACAAACACACACACCACACACATACACAAAGACAGACACATACATACATACACAAGCATACCACACACATAAACACAGACACACAGACACACAGAGACACACACAGACACACAGACATATACAAACACACACACCACACACATACACAAGGACAGACACATACATACATACACAAGCATACCACACACATAAACACAGACACACAAACACACACAGACACACAGAGACACACAGACATATACAAACACACACACCACACACATACACAAAGACAGACACATACATACATACACAAGCATACCACACACATAAACACAGACACACAAACACACACAGACACACAGAGACACACAGACATATACAAACACACACACCACACACATACACAAAGACAGACACATACATACATACACAAGCATACCACACACATAAACACAGACACACAAACACACACAGACACACAGAGAGACACACAGACATATACAAACACACACACCACACACATACACAAAGACAGACACATACATACACACACAAACATACCACACACATAAACACAGACACACAAACACACACAGACACACAGAGACACACAGACATATACAAACACACACACCACACACATACACAAAGATAGACACATACATACATACACAAACATACACACATACACAGAGACACACACAGACATACAGATACAGACACACACACAAACACACAGAGACACAGACGTATACAGATACACACAGACACACACACACCACACCACACACACAGATACACGCTCTCCTGCCCCCCGGCCCAAGCCCGCCAACCACACCTCCCCGGAGCCAGCCTTCTCCCGGGACAGCCCAGCCCCCTCTGCCCGGTGGACAGCCTGCGGCGGGCCGGGCTCACCTGTGCTGGCTTGCAGGGCCTGCGGGCGGCTGGCCACGTCCTTCCTCACGCTGCGCAGGGTGACGACGTACTCGGTGCCGGGGAGCAGCCCAGGGATCTCGTACGTGTGCCGCTCCTTGGGCACCCGGACCTGCCTCCCCGACAGCTCGCGGCCCAGCGGGTGGTAGCTGAGGACATGGTGGTCCGCCTGGCCGCTGGGCTCCCAGCCCACCAGCAGCGAGTCCTGGGTGCTCCTGAGGAGGTGCAGACCCTGCGGGGCCACCGCTGCAGGGGCGCAGGCACAGACGCGCTCAGAGCCGGGGCCGGAGCCACAGGGCAGCGGGGGGGGGGGGCGTCTGCCCTGCACGTGGACGCCACGTTGGGTCCCCCGCACCCCCGAGGGGCCCCCGGGCTCATCAGGAGCAGGCCTGGGGCAAGGTGAGGTGTGGCCCCCAAAGTGAATAGAGAATTTGAGTGGGATTGCAAAATATATATGTATTTTTTTCTCCTTTTTGGGTCCCACCCAGCGATGCTCAGGGCTGACTCCCAGCTCTGCACTCAAGAATCACTCCCGGCCGTGCTCAGGGGACCCTATGGGATGCTGGGGATCGAACCCGGGTCGGCCACGTGCAAGGCAAACGCCCTCCCTGCTGTGCTATTGCTCCAGCCCCCCATGCGTGTTTTTAAGGGGCTCTAGCTGGGCCCCATCACTTGGGATGCAGTTCACAGCATTCTGAGGTCGGTTTTGGTTGTTTGGTTGGGTTTGCTTTTGGGTCCCCACCCGGCGATGCTCAGGGCTGACCCCCGGCTCTGCACTCAGGAATCCCTCCTGGCGGTGCTCGGGGGACCCTGTGGGATGCCGGGGATCGAACCCGGGTCGGCCGCGTGCCAGGCCAACGCCCTCCCCGTTGTGCTGTCGCTCCAGCCCCTCCGGGCTCATTCTTGACCCTCTGCTCAGGGCTCACTCCCGAGGGGGCTCAGGACCTGACCCGGGTGGGCCCCAGGCAAGGCAAACACTATCCCCACTCTACATTGCCCCCTGCCCTGGGCCCAGCAATGTTTACTTTGGTTGTTTGGGGCCACATCCAGCCATGCTCAAGGTTAACTCCTGACTCTGTGCTCCAGAATAATTTCTGAAGGAGCTCAGGGGACCATATAGGAGGGCGAGGCTTGGAACCTGGGTCAGCCGCGCGTATATGGCAGCGCCCTAACCACTGCACCGCCTTTCCGGCCCCCTGGGGATGGTTTCACCGAGGTCTCCAGGGGAGTCTTCTAGGGGACACGGGTAGGCACTCACCCTGTGCACAGTCGTGGCCGGTGAAGCCCTCCTCGCAGTAACACTCGCCCGTGTCACAGAAGCCGTGGCCGCTGCAGTCAGCGGGGCAGCGCAGTTCGCTGCAGTCCTCGGACGTGTAGTCAGGGTGGCAGACACACACGCCCTGAACGCACTCGCCGTGATCGCTGCAGTTCTCAGGGCAGGCGGCGGTGGCAGGGGTAGCACAGTCGGGGCCCACCCAGCCCTCCTCACAGTGGCAGCTGCATGTGTCCCGGGAGAAGGTGCCGTGGTCACTGCATGTGGGGCTGGGATCTGGGGGGGGAAGAGGAGTCACGGGGAGGGAGTGGTCTCTGCGCCCTGCACAACCCTTTCTAATTTTTTTTTTGTCTTTTTTTGTCACTCTCAGCAATGCTCAGGGGTTCCTCCTGGCTCTGCACTCAGGAATCACTCCTGGCAGCGCTCGGGGGACCCTAGGGGATGCTGGGAATCGAACCCGGGCCGGCCGTGTGCCAGGCAAACGCCCTACCCGCTGTGCTATTGCTCTGGTCCCAAGAGCCCTTTTTTTTCTTTTTTGAATCAGTGCCTGTCCCTCTGGGCCCCAGGGGTCTGTGAAAACCACCCACAAACAATTGCTTCCTGGGGCTGGAGAGGTTGTCCAGAAGCAGCCGGCCTGGGTTCGATCCCCGGCATCCCAGAGGGTCCTGGGCCCCGCCAGGAGTGATCCCTGAGCACAGAGGCAGGAGTCAGCCCTGAGCACTGCAGAGCATGGCCCCAAAACAAAACAAAGAAACCAATCCTTGCCTGCTTGACTAGAAAGGCTCATGCCCCCTGCAGGTGCTTAACTCTTTTTTTTTTTCTTTTTGGGTCCCACCCGGCGATGCTCAGGGGTTCCTCCTGGCTTATGCACTCAAGAATTACTCCTGGCAGTGCTCAGGAGACCCTATGGGATGCCAGGGTCGAACCCAGGTCGACTGCATGCCAGGCCAACACCCTCCCCGCTGTGCTATTGCCTGGACCCCCGGTTCATCATTATTTATTTATTTGTTATTTTGGGGTCCCACCTGGCGATGCTCAGGGGTTCCTCCTGGCTCTGCACTCAGGACTCACTCCTGGCGGCGCTCGGGGGACCCTAGGGGATGCTGGGACTCGAACCTGGGTCAGCCGCGTGCCAGGCAGACGCCCTCCCCACTGTGCGATCGCTCCTGCCCCACTTAACTCTTTTAGGCGGGAAGGTGGGATGTCCCACAGTGTGGACAGCGCCCCCGAACCCAAAGCTGGCTGGGACTCCACACTGACCCCCCACCCCCACCCCAGCACCATGTGACCACCCAGCATCCTTCTGCTCCCGAAAGCTCTTGTGACCTCCCCGGGTTCACTCCGCTCACCCCATGTGGCACCCACTAGGAGCGGGATTACCACTCACCCCATGTGGCCCTTACTACTTTGGCCCTCTAGGAACGGGGAAGGGGGGGTCCCTGGAGGTCCCGGCCAGCACGGGCTGGGGTTTGTCTTCTCCAGAAGGAGCCCGAGGCTAAGTCCTGAACTTTCTGCTTTTATTTTGGGTCACACCTGGTGATGCTCAGGGCTGACTCCTGGCTCTGCACTCAGGGATCACTCCTGGCAGTGCTCGGAGGACCCTATGGGATGCTGGAGATCGAACCCGGGTCGGACCCATGCCAGGCAGACACCCTCCCCGCTGTGCTATCGCTCCAGCCCCCAGACCCTAAATCCTCATTAAGGTTCAGACCCAACCGAAGAACTCGCGAAAGCAAACTTAGCTGGACCCGCAACGTAGCTCAGCCTCTGGGGAGGGGTGCAGGGTGGGAGACGGGGGAGGGGGCGAAGCAGGGTGCATCCAGTGCGGCCAAGGGGCAGCGGCACTTCCCCAACCTGTCTCCTGCGCTCAGGACTTCCTCTCTCCTTTCTGGAAGCATCCATCTCCAAGGGCCTCCATCTGCGGCGGCCCAGGTGCCTAGCTCCATCTGACCTACAGGGGGCGCTCTCGACCAGCACCCCTGGGGGAGCAAGTGCCGGGCAGTGAAGGCTGAGACTGTCCCTGGAGGTGGCCCGAGGGCGGGAAGGGGCCGCTCTGTTTCCTAAGTCGCCTAAGTCACTACTCAAACAACCGGTTCTAATCTGCTGAAGGGCTGCCCGGGGCCAGGACGTGTCCAGATGCAGTTTTCCGTTGGCGAGAACGAGCCTCACTGGACGGCAGGCGGAGACCCGAGGAACTGCAACAGCCCGGATGGGGCCCTGCAGTCAGTCCTGGCCTAGCTCCCGCTCTCCTCTCCATGGCTTCCTGGTTTCTGGTTGGGCTGGGGTCACACCCGGGAAAGCTCAGGGCTCACTCCCGGCTCCGTGCTCAAGGCTGACTCCCGGCTCTGTGCTCAGGGCTCACTCCCGGCTCTGTGCTCAGGGCTCACTCCCGGCTCTGTGCTTGGAGATGACTCCTGGCTCTGTACTCAAGGCTGACTCCCAGCTCTGCGCTCGGGACTGACCCCTGGCTCTGTGCTCAAAGCTCAGCCAGGATCTGTACTCAGGACTGACTCCCAACTATGTGCTCAGGACTGACTCCTGACTATGTGCTCAGGACTGACTCCCGGCTCTGTGCTCAGGGATCACTCCTGGCTCTGAGCTCGGGGCTGACTCCCGGCTCTGTGCTCAGAGATCACTCCCGGCTCTGTGCTCGGGGCTGACTCCCGGCTCTGTGCTCAGAGATCACTCCTGGCTCTGTGCTCGGAGATGACTCCCGGCTCTGTGCTCAGGGCTCACTCCCGGCTCTGAGCTCAGGGCTGACTCCCGGCTCTGTGCTCGGGGCTGACTCCCGGCTCTGTGCTCAGGGATCACTCCCGGCTCCGTGCTCGGGACTGACTCCCAGCTCTGCGCTCGGGACTGACTCCCGACTATGTGCTCAGGGCTGACTCCCGGCTCTGAGCTCAGGGCTGACTCGCGGCTCTGTGCTCAGGGATCACTCCCGGCTCTGTGCTCGGGGCTGACTCCCGGCTCTGTGCTCGGGACTGACTCCCGGCTCTGTGCTCGGGGCTGACTCCCGACTCCGTGCTCCGGGATCTCTCTTGGCGGGTGCGGGGACGTCCCTCCGCGCCCCGGGCTTCCCTCTTCCAGGTTCGCTCCACGGGGAGCACTGCCCGGCGGGCCCGCCCCAGAGAGCCATCCCGGGCGCTCACCTGCGCCCGCGCGCGCGCAGCAGGACCCGCAGCGCTCCCGCAGCCGGCCCAGGTCCGCCTCCAGCCTGTCCACGCGGTCCAGCAGCGCCCGCAGCGCGTCGGCCAGCGCGCAGTCCTGGGGCGCCTGCAGGCGGATGTGGTGCCGGAAGACCAGGTTCTGCTCCAGGTTCTGCTCCAGGTTCTGCTCCGGGTTCTGCTCCAGGCTCTGCTCCAGGCTCCGCTCGGCGCCCGCGGGGTCCGCGTCCACCTGCAGCAGCGCCCCGTCGGGCACGTCCAGGCGGTAGGTGTGGCTCACGGTGAACTGCGGCTCGGGGTCCGGGCAGGCGGGGGGGCGCGCGGGCGGCGGGCGCGCACGCCAGGAGGAGCGCCAGGGACAGCCGAGGCAGCGCCGGGAGAAGCATCCTCGGACCCGGGCTGCGGGGGAGGCGCAGGAGTCAGCTGGGGCTGCCCCCCCAACACACACACACAACACCCCCTGGGCAGCCTGGGGAGCGCCAGGCACCGAGTTGCACCCCTGGACCTCATCGCCACCACCTGGCACGCGGCAGACCCGGGTTCGATCCCCAGCATCCCATGGGGTCCCCCAGCACCGCCAGGAGAGATCCCTGAGTGCAGAGCCAGGAGGAACCCCTGAGCATCGCCGGGCGAGACCCAAAAAGCAAAAAAAAAAAATGCAGTGCTGCAGGGGCCGTAGTGATAGGACATTGGGGAGGGCATTGGCCTTGCACGTGGCCAACCCGGGTTCGATTCCCAGCATCCCATGGGGTCCCCCAGCACCGCCAGGAGAGATCCCTGAGTGCAGAGCCAGGAGTAACCCCTGTGCATCGCCGGGTGTGGCCCAAAAAAGCAAAAATAAAATAAAATAAAATAAAATAAAACCTGACAACAGGGGTTGGAGCCATAGCACAGCGGGGAGGGCGTTTGCCTTGCACGCGGCCAACCTGGGTTCGATTCCCAGCATCCCATGGGGTCCCCCGGCACCGCCAGGAGAGATCCCTGAGTGCAGAGCCAGGAGGAACCCCTGAGCATTGCCGGGTGAGACCCAAAAAGCAAAAAAAAAAATGCAGTGCCTCAGGGGCCGGAGTGATAGGACATTGGGGAGGGCATTGGCCTTGCACGTGGCCAACCCGGGTTCGATTCCCAGCATCCCATGGGGTCCCCCAGCACCGCCAGGAGAGATCCCTGAGTGCAGAGCCAGGAGGAACCCCTGAGCATCGCCGGGTGAGACCCAAAAAAGCAAAAATAAAATAAAATAAAATAAAACCTGACAACAGGGGTTGGAGCCATAGCACAGCGGGGAGGGCGTTTGCCTTGCACGCGGCCAACCTGGGTTCGATTCCCAGCATCCCATGGGGTCCCCCAGCACCGCCAGGAGAGATCCCTGAGTGCAGAGCCAGGAGGAACCCCTGAGCATCGCTGGGTGAGACCCAAAAAGCAAAAAAAAAAATGCAGTGCTGCAGGGGCCGGAGTGATAGGACATTGGGGAGGGCATTGGCCTTGCACGTGGCCAACCCGGGTTCGATTCCCAGCATCCCATAGGGTCCCCCGAGCACCGCCAGGAGAGATCCCTGAGTGCAGAGCCAGGAGGAACCCCTGAGCATCGCCGGATGGGACCCAACAAGAAAAAGAAAAGAAAAGAAAGGCATGATGAGGGATTCCCAGTTTGGGGGCCACACCCAGTGGCATTTGGGGATCACTCCTAGCAGTGCTCAGTGGGCTGTGCCCTGGGTTCCCAGGGAGGGAACCCTGCGTTTCCCCATGCAGAGCCCCATCTTCCTGGCTTCAGAAATTGGTCATTGGGGGCTGGAGCGATAGCACAGCGGGGAGGGCATTTGCCTTGCACGCGGCCGACCCGGGTTCGATTCCCAGCATCCCATAGGGTCCCCCGAGCACCCCCAGGAGTAATTACTGAGTGCAGAGCCAGGGTAATCCCTGTGCATTTCTGGGTGCAATCCAAAAAGAAAAAAATTGGTCATTTATTATTCTAATTTTCAGTGATTTGTATGTTAGGGACCAGACTGGCTGTGCTCAGCGCTGACTCCTTAACTCTGTGCTCAGGAAGTGCTCCTGCCGATGCCCGGGGGACCCTATGGTGGGGTGTGGGAAGGGGCGAAGGCAGGCCAGGGGTGCAACTGGGCTCAATCCCACACACAGCAAACGCCCTGCCCACTCCACGATTTCTCCAGCCTAATGCTGATTTTTTGTTTTCCCCAGTGGATTTTTTTTCCTTTTTGGGTCCCACCCGGCGATGCTCAGGGGTTCCTCCTGGCTTGTGCACTCAGGAATCACTCCTGGTGGTGCTCGGGGGGACCGTATGGGATGCTGGTGATCGAACCCGGGTCAGCTGTGTGCAAGGCAAATGCCCTCCCACTGTGCTATCACTCCAGTCCCCTCCCAGTGGATTTTTTTAAATTAATTAATTAATTGTTATTTTTTTTTAATTAATGAAATACCATGAGGTACAGTTATGGTACCCATCCCTCCACCAGTGCCGGTTTCCCACCACCACGGGTCCCAGCATCCCACCCACCCCCATCCCCCCATCCCATCCTGCCTCTGTGGCAGGGCATTCCCCTCTGTTCTCTCTCTCTTCTTTTGGGTCCTGTGTTTTGCAAGAGGCATCGAGTGGCCATCATGTTCGGTCTAGAGTCTACTTTCATCATGCTTCTCCCACCCTGGGAGGATCCTCCCAGCACCCTTTACTTGGTGCTCCCTTCTCTATCTGAGCTCCCTTTTCCCCTAGCGTGTGCGGTTGTCTCCAAGCCATGGAGCAAAACTCCTGGTACTCATCTCGGCCACTCCTGGGTGTTAGTCTCCCATTTTGTTGCTTTGTGTTCCCCAGATGAATGCAGTCTTTCTGTGTCTGTCCGTCTCTTTCTGACTCATTTCGCTTAACATGACGCTTTCCGTGAGGAGAGCTGAGAGCCTGCACACTCCTGCCCGCGGCACAGGACCCTTCTCTCCATAGCCCCCTCGTGTCACTCAGTGGGGTCACCCCGGTGACCACAACCATCCTATCAGCAAGAATGGCTGTGGTGCACTCAGGGACCACAAAGTCAGGCTCGGTCCCCAAATCTCAGACACCTGAGCCAATCCCAACACCATCCTCTGCGTGAAGCTGGCCTCGATCCCTGGCATCCCCTAGGGGTCCCTGAGCACCACCAGGAGAACCTCCTCCTCTCCGTTAACCAAGCCAATGGGGCAACCGGACGGAGAGAAAAGCAGAAACCCAGGGTTCGATCCCCAGGTCCGACTATCTGAGTCCCCTGAGCTAGGATTAAGCTCTGAGCACAGCAGATACGGACCCCAAATACCCCTCCCCCCCAAAAAATTAATAGCTATACATAGCCTGTGTTCTACACTTAGTATCTTGTTCCAGCCTCAAAACATCTCACTGGCAACATGCTGTTATACCCATTTCAAGGACAGGAAAACTGAGCCTGAGAGCCCTGAAATGACTCCACCTGTGCCAGGAAGCCCGTTGGAAGCAAGAGCAGGAACCAAGACAGAATAGCAGAATAGCAAGAAAGGGTGCAGCCTCGGGCTAGGAAGGGCCCAGCACATTCTTTGCATGCAGAAAACTGGGGTTCCACTCACACTATGGCACCTGCCCCCAAGCACCTCCAGGGAGCAATGCGCTGGAATCACTCTGGAGCACTGACATCTTGGGACCAGAACGATAGCACGGCAGGGAGGGCATCTGCCTGGCATGCGGTCGACCCGGGTTCGATCCCCGGCATCCCATAGGGTCCCCTGAGCACCGCCAGGAGTGATTCCTGCGTGCAGAGCCAGGAGTGAGCTCTGAGCATCACTAACCCCCTCCAAAAGAAATGAGATAGATCAGGGGCTGCGAGCACGGCGGGGAGGGCATTTTCCTGCATGCGGCCCACCCGGGTTCGATTCCCGGCATCCCATAGGGTCCCCTGAGCACTGCCAGGAGTGATTCCTGAGTGCAGAGCCAGGAGTGAGCCCTGAGCATTTGACGGATGTGACTCCCAGAATAAAAAAAAACAAAAGATGATCCCCTACAATGAGTGCCCTCGAGTTCAGCCCCCCAAGCGTTCCTCACCCTCCCCAAAGTGCTCCCTAAGAGTGGGCTGAGGTGCGGGCTGGGCAAGGCAAGAGTGTCCTCACAGGCTCCGAGCAGACACACGGTGTCCACCAACCAAGCCACTGACCCCTTGCGTATCGACCGTCCCCGCTGCCCCACGTGCCCGTCCCCAGCAAACCTGGTCAGAGCTGCCCACCTCCCAGCCAGGGACCCCGCAGGCAGCAACAGAGCGGGAAGGGCAGCTTCTCTGCCAGCCCCAAGCACTGCATCTCGGCCGGAGCCCGCGGGTGCGCAAGGCTCGCTCTCTCACCCGTGCAGTTCCCGGACCCCTGGATGATGTGCGGCTGTGGGGGTGCCCTGAGCTGGAGCCCGGCGTCCTGGGGGATGTCACAGTGTCACGGCACTGCACGGAGGATGCCCCCCAGTTCCAGAGAAGGAGGAGACTCCTCCAACCTCTGGGCGTTTCTGACGGGGGGAAGGGTCTGGCCCTGAAAGCTCCCGGGTGCGTGGCTACAGCACAGACACGGGATGACTTCAGGGCTCATTTATGTGCCGTGACCACAGACGGGCAGGGGCGGGCCGGGCAGCCCCGCGGCTCCAGGAAAAACGCCGCAGGATAAGTTTCCAAGCGGAGATCATTATATTCTAGGGAGGACTGGGCTGGCTCAGAAGGGGGGGGGGGAGAATTGGAAAGGGGGGGGATGTTCCAGAGAAGAACGGAGACCAGCAGCGTTTCTCTCATTCTGAGGACAGGTGGGGGTTGAGAGAGAGGGACAGAGAGGGAGGGAGGGAGAGGGAGAGAGAGGAAAAGGGAGAGATACCCCAGATAGAGGGAGAGAGAGGGGGAACAGAGAGAGAGGGGGGAAGAGAGAGGGAGAGAGGGAGAGAGGGAGGGAGGGAGGGAGAGAGGGAGGGAGGGAGGGAGGGAGGGAGAGAAAGGGAGAGAGGGAGAGAAAGGGAGAGAGGAAGAGAGAGAGGGAGAGAGGGGAGGGAGGGAGAGAGGGAGAAGGAGGGAGAGAGAGAGGGAGGGAGAGAGGGAGGGAGAGAGAGGGAGGGAGAGGGGGACAGAGAGAGGGAGGGAGGGAGAGGGAGAGAGAGGAAAAGGGAGAGATACCCCAGATAGAGGGAGAGAGAGGGGGAACAGAGAGAGAGGGGGAAGAGAGAGGGAGGGAGGGAGGGAGGGAGGGAGGGAGGGAAGGAGAGAAAAGGGAGAGAGGGAGAGAGGAAGAGAGGGAGAGAGGGGGAGGGAGAGGGAGAGAGAGGGAGGGAGAGAGAGGGAGGGAGAGAGGGACAGAGAGAGGGAGGGAGGGAGAGATATCCCAGATAGAGGGAGAGAGAGGGAGGAAGAGAGAGGGGAGAGAGG